ATTGCCTGATGTATGAAATGATGATGATGATGCTCTACGAGTCAGATGACGTGGTTCATTGATCCATCGAAAATTATTTGGAAAAGATGAGAACGCTGTTGGAAATGTATCAAAATCACGCCATGGATCAAAAAAATCAAGTTGATTACCAAAGAATCGATCGAATGGATCGTTGAATAAACGATAATGTGTGATTGGAAAATAAGACATGATGTATTTAATATGAGCAAATATTCGTTAGTTAAAATATGATGTATTCTGTATGTAAATTTATCCATATTTATATAGATGAAATATACAAACAATTTCTAATTGAATTGCGCAGTTTCGAGAGTATTCGCGAGTATATCCGACGTATTTTTTATGCGTTTCATTTCGTTTTCGATTTATTGACGGCATATAGATTATTATCACATATGACAGAAACAGTGAAAAGGGTATTGATCATATGTGGTTTGATTTATTAATGTATATAAACAAGGTAATGACTAAATGAGAAAAACAAGTATACGTCATCGATCGAATATATGTGTTTTTTTTCGAATTGCGTATTCTTAAAAATGATAAAGTACTGTACGTGGTTTGTGTTTGACGTCAATGAAATTAATGATTTCACTAAACTATAGCCTTGAAATCATCAGATAAACATTAATTAGAAGGTATTTATGGTTTTATGATAGTGATCGATACGTCATTCGAAAAGGGAATATTCATAATAATAAACTGCATAGTATAGACTATTTTTTTAACCTCTCATACGTAGTTTATTTTAAAATACAAAATCTTGTTTTCGTAACATACTAATATATTAATTTAAATTTAATAAATTATAAACAATAAATATTTTATTGATCATCCGATTTTGTCTTTGTTCCACTTTGGTCATCTGGATTGAGTGGTCCAGCAGCAAATTCTTCAAATGGCCGTGCACGTACTACTGGTGCTTTTGATCGACTAAATGCTTCTTTAGGTGGATGTGCTATGAAATTTGAGTGAATTGCTAGAAAAGAAAAACAAATTAAAATTGAAAGAACTTTGAAGATGAGAAATTTTACATGGCGTTGAAAAATGTGGCGAAATTTTTTTGTAAACAGCATGTGAAAAAGATTTATGAGATTGATCTAATCATCAAGACAAAAAAAGCAAATAATCAAGCTGATTATAATTAATACTAAATACCATGAGTAGTTGATGGGTGAACATGATGATCTCGTTTGGCTGATTTGTCTTGCACGGGTATTGAACTAGCTATGTTACTTTCATAAACAACTTGTGATATTTCATGCGATTCATTAGATTGTTTATCAGATGTTTTTGTTCGACTTGATGAAGATGATGTCATATCTAAAATAATTGCGTTAAACGACACATTTGCTCTACTAAGATAAGTAATATTAAGAATATATTTGTCTGCTTTAGATATAGTTTCGTTTACGTTTACTAAAGTAAATATAAGAAAAAAAAAATATATACACATTCAAACATTTATCGTAGCCTTGTACTTTCCTTTTCTTCTCGTTTTATTATTTTTGAAAATCTTTCAAAGCTTTTATTTAATAATTATTGGACAAAATCTAATTTATACATTAGCAAGTCTATATTTATAAACATAATTCGATTCTATAATGCACTGAAAGAAAATCAAGGTTTCATAATTATAGATTAAAATCCGTTGATATAGTACTTCTATGCTGTTATCTGCATAAACGCACAGAGAGCGCTACAATCAATAAAATATATTTCAAAATAAATTTTCATGTTTTTTTATTTTATTTTAAATTAATCTTGTTATGATATTATTTCTCACTGATTATATGATGTTTTTTCGTTAAAAAATCGAATTTATTATAATTCGTCAGATGATTTAACCAATCAGAGATGAGCAGCTGATTCCCCATATTTTTTGTTTGCTTTCCATCTCGTTGGTAGTCGCTAGTCTTTTTCGCCTACTCAATTAAGATTTTTATATTTTGTATCAATAGGCATTTATATTGCCGTTGTTGGCAATTGTTAATAATTAAAAATGAAAACTCCAGTAACAATGAACAGTATTCGTATTGGCATTACAGATTGTGCACGTTATGCTAATTATGAGAGATGGTTTTTAGATGCACCGGCTAAAGTTGATATTATTCGTCTTTCATATCATTTGAATAATGTTGATGATATAGAACAATGTCAAGGTATTGTTTTATCTGGTGGAGAAGATGTTGATCCACGTCGATATAAACGACCAGAACTTCTTGGTAGATTAGAATTAACTGATATTGATGAAAAACGTGATGAATTCGAATGGGAAGTTATTGGACGGGCACTCAAATTAAAATTACCCATTCTTGGCATTTGCCGTGGTTCGTATATTAGTTTAATATAATCTATTCTATTTTTTCTCTGAATAGGCTTGCAATTATTCAATGTTTATCATGGTGGTACACTTATTTTTGATATTCCATCTGTTACAAATATTAATGGACATGCAAAAATACAAGGTATTTATTGACAACAAAATAGAATTAGAACTATTCAATCAGATTTTTTTGAATTAGATTCAATAAGAAATATATAACACGTAATGGCAAAAAGTTCTATTACTGTATATATATATAAATAATGTACTGAAATTGAAAGTAGTCATCTGTAAACTATTTATTACTGTTAGATTGTACGTTAACTAATACATTAGCGAAGGATATATTAACCTTAGAATAAGATCAATATCATTATAACTAACTCTATAGAATTTTTATTAAATCAATCATAACGATCAGTTCACCTATAACATTATTTCAAGTTTTAAATAGATATCTCAATGCCATCTAATAAATGATATAATGATTAACCTAGTATTTATATATAAATCAAGGACAGAAGTATATGACCATCAAAAAAAGGTCAATTATGTGGAACAAGAATATTGAACATTATCAAAAGAGTGTTTCATAATATTCATCTCGTTTTAGTTAAATTCTACATTAGTAAAAATAACATATTTCAACTTCACCTTAGTTCATCGTAAAAAAAAGCCTATGTTTTAAGGTATGGATCAACGTCATGAAATATCTGTTGGAGAAAAAACTCTTCTCAATGAAATCACAGGATGTGTTAAAGGTGCTGTGAATTCTTCACATCATCAATGTGTAGAAAACCTTGGTACAAACTTATTGGTTGCTGCTAGAGCAGAAGAACCCATTGTCGAAGCATTACAATGGCAAAATGCACATGAAAATCCATTCTTTTTAGGCGTACAAGTAATTTATATAACACAAAATTTCTTTTCTTGTCAATATATATTGATTTTTATCTCAATTTAGTGGCATCCTGAACGAATGGTTGATCAAAATAGTCCATTTTCATACAATATTCGCCAAGCATTTCTTGATTATATCATCGAACATCAAGAACAAACATTAACAGAAAATGAAGAAAACATGGTGACAACAGAAATATCAAAAGATTAGTTTTTGAATATAAAACCGAATTCTGTGACTTTATATTATCAATAACATTCCTATTAGAAAAAAATTCTATTTTTCTTTCAACGCTTTAATTTATTTTCACGCATGATTTTTCTATCTCTAAAAAAAATACAGTGCATTCCATTCCTATCTTTTGCTCTGCTCTAAACTGAACTCTCTTTTTTTTATTTGTATACAACATGAAAAGTAGATTTATGTATAAATACATAATTATCGTACGTTGGTTTTTATGATTGAATGAAGTGTCAGATTTGTACTGTCAAACCGCTATTAATCTTCTTCTTTTCATCAATTATCCATATTTAATCTCGCATATTGTTTTAGCGTTTTCCTTTTATTTGTATACTAATTTCACATTGCTAATATTTTTCTTTAAATCGTATTCTTATTTTTTCTTTGTTTTGTTTCAATGTAAAACAAATGCCACAAATAAATAATCAGTATATATATATCGCATTATACGATTGTACTTTTTAGATATGTAAAAGAACTTCAAAAAAGGAAAAAATGGTTCTTTTTAGTAAATTTCGACCGTTATTACAAACGGTATTGAGACCAAAAGAACAATTGCAATCAAGTAAACTTTATCAATGAATAAAAAATAAATGATATTTTTGTTTTTAGTTGTAAAACGATGGAGTTCAGGAAGAAATATGCGAGTGATGATATCGGAATTTCATGAACGAAAATTTTTTGATATGTTTGTAAGTTATGCGAAATGAAGTATTTGCTTTCAAAAATAAAGGATGCATACATGAAGATATGTATGTGTAATTAACTTGATAGAATGTAAACGTTTTTGTTACTTATTAACCTTGCATTTTTATTTCTGCATACTCAATTTCAGAAATCTAGAATATTTATGCAAATAAATCACACATGAATAGGAAATTTTATTTATTAATCATTGTCACGAACGTGAAAGAATTGTACTTTATGTTTTGCAGCTCAATAAAATGATCTGACTTTAAACTTTTTTTAATACAAATGATTATTTTATTTTTATTTTATAGCATTATTACTTTCTAATTGGTTTGGTACCTACATTTTGTGTCGTTTTTTATGCTAATGTCTTTGTTGGTATGTATATTTTTAATCAGAAATAATTTATTCTAATTCATTTGATTAAATAGGTCAAGCAACACTCACGGAAATTCCAGATGATTATGAGCCACGACATTGGGAATATTATAAAGTTTGTTTGTTTTTTCAGTAAAAAGAAAAACAATTCTATTCATTTATTTAGCATCCACTTCGTCGCTTTATGGCTCGTTATGTTGTTCAACCATTTGATGAACGTTATGAGATTTCCCTTCATTCCATCTATACGCATGTTATGAGGGATCAACTTAAGTATTATAAAAATTAATCATATATAACATGATATATTGATTTGAATTCATTTTCTAGAGCTCTTGAACGTAAAGTAAAACGTTTAGAACACGCACGTGGTGATGCTAAAGGATGGTTTTATCGTCCAGTTGTTGATCATTTAACTGAACTTGAACAAAAGAAAGCAGTTGAACGATCTGATGGTTATTCAGCTATGGTCGCACCTCGAGAATTACCTCCACCACGTTCATGGCCTGTACCACCTAAAACCTAATTGAACATTTGTCTCCGTGTTTGTTTGCTACTCCTTATAGTCAGTTGGTTCCACAAAAGAAAAACAACAGCGTCCTTTCTATTAACTCCCTTTTTGAATCTTTAGATTGTTTGATATAAATAAAAGAAAATAAAAAAAATTGTTTTTTGTTTGACATTGAAGTTTAGCGCGACAATAGAAAATATCATTGTAAATATAGTGTGCTTTACTGTGCTAAAATCTGTCCTTTTCTTTCTCGTTTCTTATCGTCGTTAGTTATGGAAAAAAATAAGGAGAACTAGAAGAATCCATATATTATCTTGTTTCCAATTTGGTAGTATAAATCTATCAAATCAACAACAACAATAACAGTTCTATAGAGTTAGTAGAATGATAACTGTATATATATATATATTCTTTTTTTTTGTGCTGAAAAAGGAAGAGTATAACATTTCATCTATATGTAGAACAGCTAAGTTTATGTTGTGAATCAATGAATGAGTTGATTCGTCAACATATGTTTTGCTATGAAAAAAAACAAGAGAAGATAGATTTAATTATTTTCTTCGTTTTCGATCGATTGTATTAATGAGTGAATATATATATATATATATTTTTCTTTTCTATTAATTTCCATTATTCAATACGATGTGCAATATTAATAGCTTTTGTGTTCGTTAAGCCTTTTCATTTGTTTATTGATTTGATTAATATGATGCAACAATATTAGAGAATCATATTTCTTTCCTATATTTACTATCTAGTTGTCTATAGAGAGACAAACATTTGTTTTCTATGAGAAAAATCAAGCCGTTCTCAGCTTATATGTACTTAAGAATGAACTTGCCAATGTCATTGTCAGTAGCAGTCGATGTTTGCATGTCTGTCCTTGATGAAAGAGAAACAGAATCTGCCTTATGTTTTCTCTCTCCCTCTCCCTCTTTCTTCCCAAACTGCCTTGTACTTCTTCATCGTCATCATCGCTTATACAATATATCAGACGTTTTTTTCTCTTATTCTTGCGTTCTTACCCTTATAATACAAGGTCAATTATCAACAAGAGACGTATACATTTGTATTGTCGATGCGACGAGTGTTTCTCATAGAGGTTTTTGCTTGCCGTTTAAAACGGAGAGATATAGAGAAAAAACGAGAGAAAGAGAAATTGTTTTTGTGGAGGCTCGTCTGTCACCATTCGATTCTCGTCGATTTTGGTTAAGAAAAGAGAAAAAGAACGCAAAAAGGGCCTTAGTGCCCAGGCCACCTTGGCCGTCGATCGATTGACCAACATCTTCATCATCGGCATTAAGTAAGCCTTTTCTATAGAAAGAACTCGTTTTTTTCTATCATATATTTCATTCTCATATATATATAATTAATCGTTTTTTTTCTAGATCATCATCCATCAAATAATGAGTGATAAAATTCTTAAAATTGTTAGTCGTTATATTTACGACAGTCGAGGCAATCCAACTGTCGAAGTTGATCTTTGGACAAGCAAAGGTACAAACTAATCTACAATAATTCTATTCCTATCAAATTTCATTTTATTATTTTACAAGAAAAAAACGGGAAAATTCAAAACTTTCTTGTACAATATTTCATCTTAATGCTAAAATAATTACAATTTTCTTCTTAAAACCGACATATTATATAAAAGAATAAATAATTTTCTTTTTAAAGAGAAAAAAAGGAGTATCATATATATTATAATCATACATGCAAAGAGGTTGAGTATCTATACAGGCAACAAAAAACCTTGTAAAAAGATTATTACATAACAATTTCTAATAGTGTATATACTCTTGTTCTTTTCCATTTCTTGAAAAATTTATGCGAGAATGACTTCTTTTTGTAATTGACTGTTGTTGATAATCATATTTATCTTTAGGTCTTTTCCGTGCTGGTGTACCATCGGGTGCTTCAACTGGTATCTATGAAGCCCTTGAATTACGTGATGGTGATAAAGGAGTACATCATGGAAAAGGTAGAATTTTGCTAAAAAAATTGACAATAATTATTTATGAATTATAATTTCCTAGGTGTTGAAAAAGCCGTAGCTAATGCTGAAAAATTGGGTAAAATGATCGTTGAAGTTCGTAATGAATTCATTAGTTTTTCTTTAATATTTTTATGAATTATTTTTTTTTAGAAAGGTTTTGATGCTACTCAACAAAAAGAAATTGATGAGTTTATGCTTCAAGAAGATGGAACTGATAGTAAAAGTAAGTTTTTTTGTACTTATTTAAATAATAGAATATAAATCATCATATATATATTTATAGAAAAATATGGCGCAAATGCTATTCTTGGCATTTCAATTGCTGTATGTAAAGCTGGGTAAGTTTAGATTCTTTTTATAAATATTCAAAGAGTACAAGTTATTAATATATGCATAAGAAACAGCATCTATATTACTTCGAGCATTCCAAAAGTAGTCATAGTAACACTTTATTACCATATAATAAATTGAAGAAAAGTCTCTTTTCATATGTAATAATATTAAAAATAAAATTTTAATTATATGTGATATTTGCTCACTCTTAAACAAATATTATCATAAGAAAATTTTTATATCATCTACTCATATTAAAGTAAATCGGATTAGTACCCAGACAGACAGAACTTTAAAAAAACCGGTGAAATACTCGTAGAAATTTCAACGAATAATTACGGGATAGATTTTAACGCAGTAGAATGCTTTCTAAAAATTGCGTAGAAACACGTTAACAATTCGTAAACACGGTATATTTACGAATTTTAAACGCGTTTTTTAGAGGTTTTGTCTGTCTGGGTTAGGCACGTTCGCAGAAATTTTTTTGGGGGGATTAACGACTTTGCAGAAAAGTTTATCGTAGAAAAAGGTTATTCCAAATTTCTCAAAAACTGTTCGACCTGTACTTCCCTCCAGGTATTTCAATTGTTTTTTTTTGGGGGGGGGGAGATCGGTCTCTCAATCCCACTTCTAAAAACGTCCCTGGTCTGGGTACCACCTGTAGAATAAACAAGTTTAATAGATTTTTTATTTTGTCGAGCATTCGGAATAATTGCCATCATTATCTATACAATAATGACTAAATACTACATAAATATAAACCATTATTTTTACTGTTATTACATATAGAAAGAGAATTGTCGTCAGTTTACTATGACTACTTTTGGAATGTTCTGAGTAAGATAGGACAAATTCAAGTTTTTTTCTAATTAGTCATCGGTGATCGATATTTATTCGAATAAAAATTAATGTAATAAAAACAGTATAGATTGAAAGTATGAATTTTGCTGAATGCTATAAAAAGTTTTTATTAGGATTGGTACTAAAACTATAACTAGTTCATTTCATTTATATCTATGTAGAACATAAGTTTATTTTAGATAAAACTAATATCTCATGTTTTACTAAAATTACATAATAATTAAGATCATTCATATACACGTATTTCTTTTTCTTTATAGTGCGGCACATAGTAACTTGCCTTTATATCAATATATAGCCAAACTTTCACATTCAACAATTCGTCTTCCTGTACCTGCTTTTAATGTACGTTTGGAATAATCTTTTTTCTTCTTATATATTTTATTACTTAAATCTAATAGGTTATCAATGGTGGTAGTCATGCTGGTAATAAACTTGCTATGCAAGAATTTATGCTTTTACCAGTCGGAGCTAAAACATTTAAAGAAGCAATGCGTATGGGTTCAGAAGTATATCATCATTTAAAAAATTTGTAAGATAAATTTAATTTTTTCTTCTAACAAGAAAAAAACAAAGAAAATTTTTTTTAGAATTAAAGCTGAATATGGTCTTGATGCAACCAATGTTGGTGATGAAGGTGGTTTTGCACCTAATATTGAAAGTGCTGAAAAAGGTAGTTTAAAGAATTTTGTTTAAATTAACTTTTATTTTCTATGAAATAATTTTAGCACTTGATATTATTGTTAAAGCAATTGATAAAGCAGGTTATAATGGAAAAATTAAAATTGGTATGGATGTTGCAGCTAGTGAATTTTTTGATGAAAAAGAAAAGAAATATGATTTAAATAACAAAGAAAAAGATCGACCAAATTATGTAATTAAAACGAAGCAAAAAATATAATGATTATTATTATTATTACTTTTTTTAGTTAACCAGCGAACAAATGGTTGCTTATTACCTTCGACAAATTGAACAATATCCAATCATATCGATTGAAGATGGTTTTGACCAAGATGATTGGGAAGGTTTCCACAACCTTCTTACTCAAGTTAAAGGCAAAAGTGTACAACTTGTTGGGTAAGATATTATTCGAGTAATAAGAAACAATCGATAGAAATAATATATATTTTGGAAAATAGATTAAGTCTGCATTAATAAATTTTCCGACAAAAATAATCTATCTTGGGATTATTTATATATTGATAAAAAATTCTTTTACTCTACATTATCTGAATTAATTAGACGGTTGTTAAATGTTGATAGTATGAGTTTTGTACTTGTTTATATACAATCGATGAGAATAGAATCAAAATTATTCAATAGAGTCAATGCTTGAGGAAAATGACATCTTGTTATTCTACTACTTATGACACGTCGACATGATATTTATGATCGGTAAAACCTTGGTTATATACTATTTTAAGAAATCTTCTATCTTTTTTAAGTGATATATTTAAGGGTATTATGATCGGATATTCCTTCGAAGGCACACTTCCTACATAATGCATTAGTAGACTGACTAAAAGTTCTAGAAATAACTTTATCCCAGTCAGACTCATTTTGGACCCATTCACCGTCAAATTTTCATATAACGAAGATATTTTATTCTCTCGTATCTTTGAAAATCAGGACATGGTATGAGTACAGGACGACTTGCAAACTCAGAAAAGGGCTTGGGGAGTACTCAGGGTCAAATAGTTACTTGTCATATATTATAATGTTTTTAATCCAAAATACTTGATTTTTAATAGAAATATATTATTTTTTTTTTGTTTTTAAGTGATGATTTAACAGTAACCAATGTAAAACGAATTCAAACAGCTATTGAAAAGAATGCATGTGATTGTCTTTTACTCAAAGTTAATCAAATTGGTTCGGTTACTGAAGCCATTTCAGCGTAAAAATTTCTTTCTTTTTTTGTTATTTCTATAAAAAAATTATTCTATTCGAAATATTCAGATGTACCATGGCTCGTGGTGCTGGTTGGGGTGTTATGGTTAGTCATCGTAGTGGTGAAACCGAAGATACCTTTATTGCTGATCTTGTTGTTGGCTTAGGCACTGGACAGGTTTGAATATACATATATATATTATTTAATTATAAACTTTAATAATTATTTTTCAATAAAAATAGATCAAAACTGGTGCACCATGTCGTTCTGAACGTTTAGCTAAATACAATCAATTATTACGCATTGAAGAAGAACTTGGTACTAATGCCACATATGCTGGTGAAGATGCTTTCAAAAAGAGCTAGTCGACATTCAAATACATCCATAGTTCAATAGTTCTATCCAACGAATCCCAATTAGTTTGATCCTTGATTATACATTAGAACAGTTCATATTCATTTCTTATTTTTACTTCAGTGTGATGTTCGTCTGTTTGTCTCTTTATTTTATTTTTCTTCTCTCTCTCTATTTTATTACGTTTAAAAAGAAACGGGCAAGAGTGTACTTCCCGGTGTTTTGGTTGTACAGAGGAACAGTGAGAACACACACATATAAAACTTATTTCTCATTATTTTTGATTTTTTCTTTCGTCTATTGTCATCACCTTTCATTCTTTTTCACATTGTGTAGTAATGTGCTTATATCTATCTATTTGCGATTATATTTTAGTTTATTTTCCTTATTAAATGTCTTCATTACTCCTATCTAAGATCTATTGATGATTATTAAATATAAGAAATCTTTAAGAGCTTACTGAAAAATATCTACAGATGATTTCATATTGATTATGACTGACGCATCTGTTCGAGGGAAATGATGAGTAAATCAAAGCTAGTAGATTTATCCTAATAGAATTAATTCCAGTCTTTTTACATTAAGTTGTTCCATAACAGCTGACAAAAAAGGTCACACAACTATGTCAAGTATCTGAGGGATGTAAAGTGGATTTTTGTTTACTGGAGATAAATAAAGAATATAAAAAATGAACAAATATTTGCAGGGTAATACCACTACTATTTTTTCATTCTCTGTATGTTTAAATAAAATGTCCTCTTATCGTTATTACGATTTTCTATCTTTGGAAAACTTAATTTAGTAAATTATTATTCACAATCAAATTATTTATCTTTAACGTGGTGTTTTAACAATTAAATGTGGAAATCTAGCACAACATGTAAGTGCAATAAGAAAAAAAATTGCAGCAAGAAATAAAACATAAACAGAACCAATGTGCACAAGTGCAAATACATATACATTTCGATGACAATAATGATGTGGATTTTCTAGACCAAATTCAAAATTTGGTAAATAAACACCCCATGTCCAGAATTGTCCAACAATAAACCAAGCAAGAAGAAAAAGATTTAGAACAGCGTCAGTAAAACTAGATCCATCTGAAAATAAAAAGTATTTTTCTATGCAAAACAAACAAGTACACTATAAATACCATTTTCCGTTTCTTCTTCTTGATCAAGTTCAACACCTTCTAATTTTCGCATACGCCTTCGACGAAATTGTTTCCATAATAAATTCAGCACACGTACAAGACCCATTGATCCAACAACAAGTAGATAAACTGGTAAATTTGGTTGAATTGGACAATCATTGAGATATTTAACTCCTACATATATATGTTGATTATAACAATCATAATTTGAAGTTAAATATTCATACCCATAAAGAAAAGTATGACTTGGAAGATTGTTAGAAGAATCAGTAAAGCGGTTGCTATAACTAATGAAAGAAATAGAGTAAAATTTTTACATTTCAATAATGGCGGAAGTTCGAAGGTGTATTGATGAAATATTCGGACAATTGTAGAAGTGGAATCTTTTTTCGCTCTTGAACTAGACCTATTATTAAGCCGAAAGAAAGGATATTTTTGTCTAAAGATTAAGTACTCAAGTACTGAGACTCTATAGAGTATTTTACTCTTCATGCCGTCAATTCCAACTGTGTTTTCATCTTTGTTGGAAGCGCAGTAGAATTTCTAATATAAATCTACACAATAGCTTAATAAACGAGAACGTTAAATCAACTTTTATCATTTCTATAGTTAAGAATTAGTGGCACGTTAGACGGAAAAGATGAATATCATTGTATGATGAAATTCTACTCATTCATTTAGCATAACTATTTCAATGGTTTCTCTGTAATTTACTTATAAATTGACGAAACATGTCTCAGGTGTCAGGTTTACCTTGATCTACTCAAGATAATCTTTGTCTAATTGTCATTCTTTATGAATATAAAAAAAGAAAAATGTCTCACGCATAATTCAGAAAATCTAATATAACAACGCTAATCAAAAGCTATTCTATCCATTTCTTTTCTCTCTCTCGATATATTACTATGTCGTCATCATCATTATCATCTACTATGAAAATTTTGTTATATATAACTGACAAGAAAAATATAATTTCTTATTTATACATTACATGTTTGTGTAATAATTGAAAAGGATTTTTTAACAAATTCAAAATATGTTTCAGAATCTTGAATAGCTTCACCTAAATATTCAAAAGAAAAATCGTATATCAAAAAATATATGATTTGATTTACCTAATCGACTAAGAACAGATACATATGGATCACTATCTTTAACATCTTCTACCCATTCACTCGATGATAATAACAAACGATGATCTTCTTGTGATAGCTAAAATAACAAAAAAAGATAATCTATTTATATATTCGATATTTATTTAATTAAAATTAATTATTCTTATTTCTTAACTTACGACTTTTTTATTTTTATCCATATCACGTTGTTTTAAAAATTGTGCATAACTACTACTAAGACTACTAAGACGTGCAGTTCGTTGTCCATCACTAGTTGATGATGTATTACTTAAATTGATATTTAATTTCTTTTTTGATGGTGATAAAATTGATGAAATAGAATTTAACTCAAATGATGAACCTTTTGATTGTTCTTCGGAGGGTAAATCAAGATGTATACGAATAGATGATGATGATCTTACACTACTCATTGATATTTATGTTTATTTTATTGTATTAACTATGAATAGTTGATTATTTTCTCTATGAAAGACTAAAAGTAAGAATAATTTTTTCTTCTTTTTCTCTTATTCCTGCGGTGCTATAAAAATAAAAAAGGTATGGAATAGGGATGATCAAATAAATAAGAAAGAAGAAAAAGAAAAGACAGAATTACATAGAAAATAGCGCATACTCTAACTTGATCTCTACAGTGACGAACATGACATAAAAGAAATCTAATGACAAACTATTAATTGTCATTTTCCGTACATCTTTTTTTGGTAACAACTACTAAACAAAACTATTATATCGAATCAATAAATTATTCCGAAAAGTTAGATGCTTTCGCTCTATTAAATTTATGACATTATATTAAAAAAAACACATAATGAAACTATTAAACGGAAATTCTTCTTCCTATAATCTGCTCATTAAATCTGACAGTGAGAGGGACAACTATAAAAAGACGCATTGAATATTAGAAAAAAATATTATTAAGATAAGTGTCAAGGTAAAATACCCGAAAATAAAAATTCTGATAATTATTTGAAAAATATTCACTTTACCATTGAAGTTTCTTTAATCGATTGACGTCTCGTTTGATTACATGGTGTTTCAATCATTCGTGGATCTGATGAAAATATTTATTTTTCAAGACTATCAAAACCTGATCAGCATCGAATAGAATGATAATATTTTCTTCGCTTTATATATATATATATGAGTGAATGTATTCAAACTTTAGATGCTATACATTAAATAACATTCAAAGATTTCCCTTGTATAACAATTCTCATAATCAAGTATAGTTAGATGGGCTAAAACGGAAGAATAAACTTATTTTATTAGTAGGTGGTCTATTGTGTTATTTGATAGAAGAATGATTAAATTATAAAATTTTTTTCCTAGTTCATAAAAAAAGGCGGATACTATATAAAACAGTTTCCTTCTTAGTTTTCGAGCATATTCAAGTAAATAGTATGCTTACTCAATTGTTCACTAACTGTCATACTCTTAACTATTATGATGACTAGAAGTGGAGCTTATCAATAAAAAAAAAGAAAAAAGAAAATCATAATTCTTTTTTCTTACCACTGCAGATCGATGTTTATTATCGGCACTAGTTGTTGTATCACTATGTGGAAAAACTGTTGAAATTCCACCTTGCATAATTTCTAATGATGATCGGCGGCCTAATATTTCATCTGTTCCAGATGAATAAATTGAAGAACGTTTTTTCGTTGATATTTGTTGTCCTTTTTTTGTCAAACGTTTTTTTCTTGGAGCACTACTTTGACGACGTGAGGAAGATTTTCGTTCACTTATAAATGCTGTTGCTATATTAGCTAATGATACATGACGGTTTTGTACGATCGAAGAACGATCAATACTTCCTCCACTAGTTCTAAATAAGAATAAAAAGAAAAAAAACATCAGTTGTGATTAACAATTTCCGTTAAACAAAAAAATAAATAAAAGATATTTACTTCAAAGAAAATTGTGTATATAATAAAATAACAAATATAGCAATTAAAAGTCACGTTCTTTTATTGACTTTATTTTATCAAATATTAATGTATTATTTAGATTTAGCCTTTATTTTTATTGAATAATTTCATTTTAGGTTTAGTAATTTCTTTCTAATTACTATTATAGTAATATATTTATATTTTACGAACAATTTCACTTGCTTTTAATTACAGAATAAATTGACAGGAAGTGTAGGATAATTATCCTTTATGTCTATTTATATGACTTCTCTACGTAAGCAATGAATAAAATGAAAAGAAGTCTAATCGCTTTTTTTATTTCGCACTTCGGTTCATCGAATATCAATAGTTAACAATTATATTATATGAATGGATCAGTTTTTCATGCTGACGTTATCTAATGTAATTACATTCTCTCAAATATGCAAGTATTGTATATTTTTTTAATATCAATTATTATCTAAGAATTTTACGTTAATATAAACTTATTAATAAATATATAGCAATACGATTCTTATTCATCACTGAATAATACAGTAGAATAGAAACTTTACCCTTATATTAAATATATTACGCTCGAGAGAAAATTCATGATTTCTACATAACTCAGGAATACTATAATATGTATATATAAATGTCATAGTTTTATAAAAACGATTGTTTAATGATGTGAAAATAGTAAGTTTCATTAATGAAAATAATATTTATCTTCCTCAAACAATATTAAAATCAGCTTTACAGTTTTCTCCTTCATTTTATTATTCTTATTCAGATAATTCTTCAAAAAGTTCATTTTCTATAAATAGAAAAAAATAAAAATTTACATACGTTCTTCTGTATTGTTAAAAGTTTTCTTTTATCAATATTTTTTAATTTGTAATTTAATACGCACTTACCAGAGGAAAATTTCTTGAGTAACATTTTCTCCGCATCATATTATTATTTCCTAATGTTATTATTCATCGAGAAAAGAAAGTTAGAAAACACCACTTAACAGTATTTTTTTTTCGCTCTTACAATTACTAATCGATATTTACTTTAGATAAATGCATTTTATACAAGTAAAAAAAGGCGGAATAATATATCAAAAGATTATATACGAGAAAAGTTATATGCATCTAATATATTTTGATAAAAAAAAAAAGAATCGATTATAAATTTATAAAGGTAAATACTATACTAACCCATTATAAAGCGATCCAAATTGACGTGACATTATGGCTAATTCTAAAACACAGAAATATATATCATTTTAATTAATATTAAAATCGATTAAATATTATGGTGTTAATAATTCATAAAAAAGACATTTCTATGACTTGTTAATTACTGAAAACTAATTGAAATATGTGAGGAAATAGAAGTAATTAATTTTAATTCAATCGCTCTTTCTAGAAATCTAATCTTAAATAACGATAGTCAGAATACTTACGTTTATTAAAGTCATTAGCAATAGTTATTTAATTGTAGCTATCAAACATTTTAGTTGAATACAATTATAATAATTACATTGAGGAAGAAAACGATGAAATTGCCGTTATTCATGCACATCTTTACTTTCCTATATCGCTCAATTTCCTTTCTTTCAGTTCATTTTCTTATACTAAGTTTTTTTTCTTGGCTTATACTATGTCATCTGAAATGATAATTTTTAGTTGTTTTTTTGCTCCTTCTATATCCGTCTGTTAGTAATCAAAAGCATACTTTTGCTGTAAGGAAAAAATTAAATATGCATCATGAAATTAGTATGTGTATTTTTCTTCTCGTTTTTTTTCTACATGCAACTATTAGATCTCGTTTAGAAAAGGATAAGTGTAAGCAATATGTTGATTGACTTTCGTGCTCATAAACCATTAAGTAACAATTTATATGCTATTGGTGAATTCTATACATGTATCATCAATGGTGCGTGCTATTGGATTGAATGAGTTTTTTATGCTAAAACTAGAATTACAACTATATTTATCAGAAACAAAAAAAAACGATCATAAAGGCTTTAACAGTTATTTTCTATTTATTAATGATTAAAACTCTCATTGACAAATTGTAAAAGTATAGATAAATATTTATTATTTGCTATATATCATAATATTTCTGTTAAGGTACTCGAATCATTTGTTTGTTCAATAACATTATCTCAAGTAGATTTTATGATTGAGATAAATAAATAAATATATATAAAAATAGATCTCTTTTTTTGCATGTAAAATTCTTTTCTTTATAGTGTTATTCTATTTAATAGTTAATATCAAAATGTCAGAAAAAGATTTCGATATTTTATTGTATGTACATTGAATTTGTTGTAATCAATCTTATAGAGAGAAAAGAAAACGTCTGTTGATGTCATGCATGTTTCTCTTATTTATAAGATTTAATTATTTTTTTATTTTATTCTATTTTGTGGTTCATTTCCTTTAAGGTATGCGTGTATAAAACACAGGAAAATACTAATGGTCTATGAATTTTGCCGCACCGTTAGGATATGCATAAGTAACTTGATCACGGGTAATTTACGCACGAGGTAAACATTCATACTACACAGTTTGACAAAGAACATAAATGCAAAAATATAACAATTAACATATTATTGTTCGATGGAGATATTAATTACGATTTATCGTTGAGTGGATAGTGTAATTATTCGCGTCTCTTAATATTTATGACAGAGATATTTAAAGATGATCATAAAATTATTTTTGAATCAAACTAATGAGCTAATGACTGATCTGTGGATGTGAAGACAAAGCCATATAAACATTTTTACTATTATTATTAATACTTTTCTTTCAAAAAGAATTTATTTTCTTATTTCTTATTTTATTTTGCGTAATATTGATCAAACACAACAAGTTTTACATAAAATTGTTCATTATTTTGACAAAGACAGCAGAATCGATGAAAAACTAGAGCATTGATCATTGAATTACGCGTGCTCCACTATTTATAACAGTAGACTATTCATTATTGCTTGAATTTTTTGATTCTTCTTTATGAGTTGATAGTGACAATTGTTTATCCTCCAATCTGGCAATATCTGCTTCACCTTCCTTCACCATTTTATGTTCGGGTCCATAATTAGCTCGATAGATCGAAAGACTTTCACTGAAATAACGAAGTGCCTCGAATAAGTTGTTCATATTTTCATAACATAGGCCAATATTTCTTAAGCTGTTTGCGATGCTAATGTGATCAGAAGACAATGTTTGTCGATTAAGTTCCAGTACTTTAAGTTCACATCGTAATGCATCTTCTATCATATCATAATTGGAATATAAACAACTCATTGATGACAAACAGGTAGAATTGAGCTGATAATCAGATGGTGTGCAATTCTCCAACACAGACAGAGCTTGTTCATAGTATTCTAATGCTTCGTTTGGATTGTTGTCCGTAATTAAATTAGCCATGATCATTAGTGTTCGAGCAATACGAGGATGATTTTCACATAATCTAGTTTTTTGAATAAGAAGTTTTTGTTGACACAAGTCTAAGGCTCTGTCAATCTCATTCATCTTTTTATAAATACCAGTGATCGAACCAAGATGAATTGAAAGATTTGAATGCTCAAAAGGTAAACATTGTTCTGCCATATATAATCGTTGTTGATAATAATTGAGAGCAACATGTAAATTACCTTTCTTCTCATGAGTATATCCTATTGCACCGAGACATGCTGCTATATTAGAGTGTTGATCAGGGAGAACATATTTAAACATCTCGAGAGCACGACACAAATAAGTAAGAGCCGTATCCAAATCTTCTTTATCCATGTATACCCTCCCAATATTTTCGATTGTTATTGCTTTTCCTAGATTATTGCCTGGATGTACGCTTTCATCAATTGTCAAAGTCTGTTGCATATAATCGAGTGCTGTATTAAGATCACCTTTTGCTCTATAAATAATACCAATATTGTTGAGGGAACCAGCAATGTCAGGATGATTAGATGGTAGTTGTTTTCGACGCATCTCATAAGCTATCTCATAGTTTTTCAATGCAAAATTCAATTCACCTCTCTCCATATGTACTATACCAATATGATTATAAACAGCTGCAAGATCAGGATGATCATCTGGAAGTGATTTCAATAGCATATTAAAATATTCTCCTGCACGATCTACTTGGTCCAACTCATATAAGAGAAATCGGCCAAAATAAATAAGTGGTGTGTATTCTTCCATCTCTTGTTTCGATAATGAAAAATATTCTTCAACTTTTTCTGCTCCTTCATCAGTTGCATCCAATTCTACTTTCCATACAGTAAGTTTAGAATCAAAGCAGACAGAAATAATCTTAAAGAGTGAATTTATATTGAAAAGAACTTCTTCTTCACCTTTTATTCGATTTTTATTTCCAACATCAGCAAAAACCACTGTTTTCAATAATGGATTTGCTTTAATTTCAAATAGGACAGATATAAAATCATTTGATTGAGCATTGGTATGGATAAATTGAAGTGATACATTGATATTCCGTGATGTTGATAAAAATCCATTTGTTGTAATAGTTTTACCAATACTGTCTTTTATTTTTTCTAATTCTTCATTTGGAATTTGTGTTCCATGATATAAAGTCAATGTTTCTTTATTCTTCGAAAGTGGATTTTCTTATTCAATTACTGAACATAAATCAATAATAAAGAATCGAAAAGTAAAGAGTAAGTCAATATCTTCAGTTCGAAGTGCTTTATTTAATAGTTTATAAAGAAAACATTCATCTGTATACCATTCCATTGCTTTGTCACGAGTATAAGTATTTTGAAATTCTTCAATCTTTTGTAATTCTTTTGTATCACTTTTATAATAATCATGGCACATATCGAGCATTTGTTTTTTTGATTGTTCATCTTGTGACATTTGTTTTAGAACATAAATTAACACTTGATGTAATAGAAATGATGCTGATTCTTGTGATAAATCTTTTATTGACTTTTGTTTTTGATCAAAAAGACTAAATGTTAATGTTTGTTTCTCAACTAGATTCATTTTTTCTCGAATTGATTCTGATAAACCATGTTGATCAGTAAATATTCCAATAATTTTATTATATTCTTTCATCAATGGTTTATAACGTTGATGGTTAGAGGAAAAAATAAATATAGCAACCAAAGATCGATAACGATGACTTTGTAAAAGTATACGCCGAGCAAAAGGACCCGAAACAATAAGAAAGATTTGTTCCTCTTTGATTAATTTGATTAAATTGAGACATCGATCAAATTGAGAATAAAACTGAACAGCTGGATTGAGTTCAGTTAACATTGATTGAGTGAGAAGATAATCATCTGAATCATTCATATCTCCATCAAGCCAAATCAATTGAATATCTTCTTTGTTATCTGAAACTTCGTGTGGAAGAAGATTTTGGCGTCTTTCATTCAAGGATTCAGTAGTAGCCATTATAACTAATAATCACTTTATCCTTACCGTAAAAAAATTCTCAACAAAAATATTTTGTTTCAGAAGCAAAACATTTCTTTTCGTCGTATCTTTTTTCCAACGTTATTTGATAGATAAAGCCGATAACAGTGTCATGTTAAAAGTGCTTCAAGTTATTTTGTGAAAGTGAATGTCGCACTGTTGCTTTTTCGCGGAATGAAATGTTTCGTTTAGATTTTTTACCTCTTTTGAGTGATCTGTTTGATTATGCAGCACAGATTTAGTAAAAAAAATACCTTCCACTCGCATGCCACGAATTTATAGGATCACACTCATACATTTATACCAGCAATGCATATATATTGTATAGATAATCTAAAAAACAATAAACATTAGCTATTTTATTGTATTTTTTTATGCATTGCTCAGGCAGGGTATGGGTGTGGGTGAGGGTGTGAATGTGATATACATATAATATCTATACCCACACCCTCAGTGAAAGAAAATTTAAGTCAAAATATGGAGAGAGTAGCGAAGAAAAAATCTCAAATAAAAATCGAAAAATAAAGCGGAATTTCTTAAAATATTGCACTCGATTAGAAAAGGTCTACCTTCACACGTAAATTTCAAATTCGCAGCTCAGGCACTTATACCTTAATAGTTTATCAATGGAATGCAATTTATTTTTTTAGTCATTACACCATTAAGACTCTACTTTCAAGTTGAATTCTAGCTAAAGACTTATATGTTATTATTGAATGAATACCACTATTTTCTATATATTAGAAAACTTGAATTGTCATGAGGTTAAGTTTCAAACTTCAAGTTACTAATGCGTGTGGCTCACTTATTTTTCACATTATATACAATCGAAGAATTATAGTTATACTGAATAAAACTAATAAATGGCTGTTCATTCTATACTCTTTCGAAAAACATATAACCAAAACATGAAAACGAATTGAAGTATAGAATAAAATATATCAGAGATAATAATTCGATATTTACAGATAGAAATTATATGTCATTCTAGCGCTTTACTTAATAATAGGATTATACTGCTATTGACGTATAGAATATAAACTGGCAGCGTGCTTCTTTTAAATATGAATGGTGAAAATCTAGTTCAAATCGTATTTTTGTTGCTTGATAAATCTAATGTTGATGGATCTAACACGAATGTATCTAGTATAGCTGTTCGTCATTACAATTCTTATTAACTGCATTTATAGAAAAGCTTGCACAATGATAACAATATATATCTACGTATAGATAAATATTAAAGCAATTGGAACTTGTATTATTGTAGTTCACAGCGTCATGCTATTCTTCTTGAATAAATTCAGTTATACCTGTTCGATATTACATAGTTGTTGTTACAGTTGAGGATAGATATGCGGAAGAGTACTATACGCCCATACTTATACCCTCACCCACACCCTCAAGTTGTTTAAAGTATTAAAAATTGTGAAAAAACCTTCGTCTTTTTGCGTATACTCAACAACATCAAATGATATTCAAGGCAATTGTTAGAACAACATGAATGAATGTCAAGAACGTATTAAGATACCAATCTGGCTATAATAAATATCTGAAAAAATAATGTCCGGTTTGTTGTCATCATTAATGTTACCCACTGCTACAGACCATGGTTTTGTGTGATTCCCTGTTGCATACGTTGTTTGAGGCTGAAATGTACCATTGCCAAAGTTAAGAAAAATACCAATGTTCTGTTCATTAGAGTTGACAACGATGATGTCAGGTATATAGTCGCAATTTATATCAGCCACAAACACCGATCGTGGTTCTGAGTTGGGTCCAGTTGAATATATTGTTTGATTAAGAAATCTACCATTGCCAGCATTGAGAAGAACGCCAACATTGCTCGTTTTAAAATTACCTACAATAAGATCAGGTTTATTATCACCGTTGACATCAACCACAGACACATATTTTGGTTGTGAATCGATTCCAGTTGAAAATGTTGTCCAATTAATAAATATTCCATAACCGGTATTAAAGAAAATGCCGATACTAGCTCCACCAGAGTTTGCGACAATAATATCAGGATGAGTATCGCCGTTGACATCCACTACTTGCGGACACATCACACCGAAACCAGATGGAACCTGGTAAAGTTGTTGAGACGAGAATTGACCATGACCACTGTTTAGGAAAACACCGATAGTATTCGTATTTCGGTTTGTCACGATAATATCGGGTTTGTTATCGCTATTAATATCAGCCACTGCAACTGCTGGTGGATATGTTTCGGCTCCTGTGGGATAAACTTGCATGGTGTTAAATTGACCAGACCCCTTGTTGATCAAAACACCAACATTATTTCCTGCATTGTTTGCAACAATAATATCTGGTTTGCTGTCATTATTGACGTCAACGACTGATATATATTGTGGATATGATCCAAGTCCAGTTGAATAAGTTACATGTTGAGAAGAGAAACTACCTTGATCGTTGAGGAAAATACCAACGTTGTATGCATATTCATTAGCCACAATTATATCCGGTCTGTTGTCGTCGTTGATATCAGTGAGCAATACAAAGGCTGGTTCTGAGTTAGAGCCAGTTGAGTACTTATTTTGTGTTTCAAATTTCACTTCACATGGCCCTATTACAAATAAAAATTATTTTTATTGTTTGTGTGTAGTAATGTGTAAATACAATCTCAAATAGTGTTACAATCGACTAAGTATGAGTGTATCATATTCATTCACTTATCGAAATCGAAATAGTTTGATTTATACATGAAATCATACACGAAAAGTTTAGGATATATATGTGTCAGTAGGTCTTAGCTTTAACATTCAGTGGATCACCCCTATTTTGAGGATCTTACTATTAACATCTTAACGTAGGAGTAGGAAGCTGCAGGTCCAACAAAAGAATTTTTTCTTGAGTCTCGGTCCCGTACGGGCCCAATAAGTTGTTTTTTTCTCGGTCCGGGTCCAAAAAACCGTGTACCTGCAGCTTTCTACTTTACACACAGGGTGCTATACATTGATAAAAAGAATCCGGGTCTAGACCCAGTCAGGTCCGCGTGTCAACCTGATCGGGATCGATTCTGAGCCTAACCGGGACTGTGGAAGGTCCTGATCTAAGCATGACCGAGTCTGGGTCGGATACGGGCCCAAAAAACCGTGGACTCGCAGCTCTCTATAGTTAATGTAAGATTTATATCCTCACTTAATCAAAAGCATGAATCACTTTGATAATACTCACCTGTTTGTGGTGGTGTCGAGATTGTTGATGTAGCTCTTTTTGTAATTGTTGTAGTTTCTTTATCTAGAGACAATCAGAAAGTTGATACAATAGAAAAATATACAAGCAAAATAAAAAACGTTAATAGGATTTATGAAAATGCAACGTATAATAAACCCTTTCACATCGTATCACAACCTTTTCAAAAATCTATCAGGGCCGCTTTTGCATACTATGATCCTTTTAGAGGTGTAAGTCCTGCGGCTGAGTAGCCGCCGCCGCCGCCGCCGATGAACTAAGAAAGTTTAAAGCCGGCGCCAGCCGTGTCAGCATTAACTTTTAAATTCAAGCCGCAGCGCCGCCGATGGTATTAGAAATTTTCAAGTTTTTGAGCCGCCGCCAGCCGACACCTAAGATTTTATTTATTTTTTTCTAGTTATATACATTTTTGATGAACATGTACATTTTTATTTATTGGATGTGGGTGTGGAGGTGAATAGAGAGGGTGAGTGCGAAACAATTGAAGATTGTTAAGTCGCATCCATTAACGAAGCTACTTATTTTGTGAAGACTCAGCAAAGCTGCAGGCTCCAAAAACAAACAGCCCTTTTTTGTCGCCAAAATTTAGTTTTAAATGATAAAGACTATAGACTCCGCTTATGACAGGGTCCATCAATTCAAAAAAAACCTTTCCTAAAGGGTTTATGATAGGGTAGATCGATTCCATCTCATATTTAAAAACGTTTTTGTAATGATTTCTGGCAGAGTGTGGGTACAGATGACTAAGGGGTAAACAACCATATCATGGCCTAGTTCCATCCCCACTCTTAAGAACAACCATACCTGTTACTACTGTTGTTGTTTTTTTATTCGTTTCGGCTTTCCAGCAATATCTTAGAACAAGTATTGTTAGAGCACCACCTATTATAATCCCAACGATCACAATAAGGATCGTGCAGCACACTTTTTTTCTTTTTGGAGAGCTCCTAAAAATGAGAATATTATTGGCTTTTGTAGTATAAAAATAATTTAAAAACACTGTTGTCATTGAAGCAGGATCTTCTTCATGTGTATTCGCGGCCATCTGGTTGTTCTGAAATTGAGTTGTAAGAAATATAGTATACTTTTATCCCTTTATCTGTGATAAGATTAATTACATACTTCATCATTTTCATTCATTGCTTCATTTGTATTCGACATTGTTCTAGAATTCTTTTGTTTCTTCTCTTAGAAAAAAAAGAAGAGTAGTATAAAAGTATAATTTTTATTAATGATGCTAAATATAAATTCAGTGTAAGCAGGACTAATATATACGTATATCGTCTATATGAAACTCTCTTTTAGGGGTACTGATAATTCAAAATGAATTCATAGATATTAGGATTATCGAGCATTCATACTTACACCTGTACTAAAAATCATTACCTATTCTCTTAGAATCACATATAAAACAAAGGGTTAATCGGCTAATAATTTTCTTTGTTCAAATGATTCCACCAATCTAACAACTGCAACGCTCTAAATGATGGACAAATAAAAATTTGTTTCTCTTTTTGTGACTCTTTTTTTTAATATATAAAAGCAGATGCGAGTGAGTATCTAGCATAAATACAGAACATGTTAAAAACCGTGCATGATTTTCATGCAGGATACGGAAGCAAATTGTTTCAATCAACATTTTTAGTTACTTTTGATAAAAGTGCGATACAATAAAAATTATTATTTTGCGTAGGAAGTACATTTTTATGACGTAGAAAAATTGTTGTTAAACAGAGAATTTTATTCCACTGCATCTGTCTACAGAAACAACATTCTAACAACACATCAGATTTTTTTTTCTGTCTTTCATTTTACATTTATCAGAAACACGTAGAACTCACCATGCCCGTAGTCGATTTTTGCCGAAAGACGATATCTTCTTGGAAATTTTTTTTTCTCAATCTCAATCTTTTTAAACCACCAGTTGGTAGTAATCAAAATGAAGATGAACAACAACGTCGATTCAATACCCTTGTTACTCGGATCTATCTGGTTCTTCTCACATGCCTTCTGATTTATCTCGGTTTTTTTATACATTCAGATTCGGAAGTGATCACCGAGAAACAAGATAATCCGTCTAAAGAAGAACTAGATAGCTTTCCTAGCGATGCAGAATGCCCGTGTTCTCGTATTTCACTCTTACATGGTGAATTTATCTCACTGAAACCGTCTTTACATCAAATATGTTCGAGTGATTTTGTGCTTACTCGTTGGATTAAAGCCATCTATTCTGGGTCGAACGTTACCTATTTCAATTTAAACGACTTTCGAACTTTCGGTAGCGCACAGTTTCAAGCATTAGCCGGTTTTTGTAATCAATCAAATTCTTATCTTCAACAAAACGTTGATTCATTTGAAAACAGCACGTTTATCAGTCCAGAACTTTTGCCAAGGATTGTTTTTGAAGAAGAGATTAATTCAATTATTACTCGATTTCAACAGTCTCTACCTCGAGGATTCGCAGCTGAATTAGAACTAATCCTTCGAGTAGTAATCGGTAACCGGCTTATATCTGGTCTTCAAACAAACTTTATCATATCATACGGTGGTACCACTCAAGTTACACCCGCTGTATATATTGACGAGAATAAGGCATCGTGCGATTGTGTTTCGGATCATCGATGTATTTCTGATGCAATCTTTAGTGACATCTTCGATGCACCAACACAGTATAATTCCAGTCGTGAGACAAAGCTACTTGGGTTGAAATCGGGTTGCTTGCCAGTGACTTCGATTCTTGCATCGACACTTGAGTGTTTTTACTATCAGGCATGCTTGAACATGCTTATTTCATTTTTTCCAACAAAAGAAAATTTCTCAGCGATGACAATTAGCAGCGCCAGTCGTTTCGGTCCAAATGCAACCGTGAAATCAATTGTCGATAATCTGATGCTGGAAAAGTGGCTCAAGAACGAGTCTTATGAAAAGTATCGAGATAACTGTGCACCTCTTTCGTGCACGTATCGGAAAAAAAAGGAAAATAATTTATTAGATGTGATAGCAAAACTCATTGGTTTACTCAGCGGCTTGATATCCGCACTGAGACTATTGTTGCCGATTCTTGTTCGATTCATCAGGAATAAATTAAATAATATACGATCACCACCATCCACTCTGACTCGTAAGTAATTCTATTCTCATGATAACTATGCTCTCCTTAGGGTTGGGCAGTTCCGACTCCTACGAATCGATCTTTTTTTCAAAACGAAACCAGAGCTGTAAGGATAGTTTAGGAGCCGGAGCTAGAGCTGATGCCAGAGCCAGTGACAGTTGTCGGCTTCGAATCGAATCCGAATTTTTCCCGATGTTTTTACTTCGAATGATTGTCTAGGGTAGATTCTCAGTGAATTTGACAGCGACAGAGCTGATCCGACTCCTAAGAGCTGATCTTTTTTAAAAACGGAGCCGGAGCTGCCCAACTATGGTTCTTCTGTCAATTCATATCATTTCAATTTCTAGTTCGTGAACGTTTGCGTCTAATCAAACCAGCTTTGAAAAAGTTAATCGTTGAACTAAATACATTTGAGTATTTTCCCCGCAATGATCGACAACTTCAATATCAACGTTACGCTACTCGATTGTATATATTCTTGATCATCATTTCGGTTACAATCCTAGCTGGATATAACCTAGTGAGCAAATCAATTCATCGCCGTATTATTACTAATCCATCCGAATCCGAATATCTTCATTTTAAAAACCTCTATAAAACTCATCCCATCTGTAAATGTAGAAATATGTCTGTATCGTACTCCTCTTTTATAACTATTCAACCTCGATTCCATCAGGTATGTTCGAGTTACCTGATTAGTCCAGAATGGATAAAGTACAGTGATTCGGCGAGTAGTGCTGCTTATTACATGTTCGACTATCGCAAGTATGCTATTAGTCAGTTTCAAACATTGGCAATGCTGTGTGAGCTTGCTCAGGACACAACTAATGGTGCTCTTGAATTTTTTTTGCAACGGCAGATTGTCAACTCACAAGTAATCAGTCAAGAATTATTTCGACCTAAAATGGATCATCTTATTAAAACTTGGAAATCGTCCACTAGCAGTCAGTTTAAACGCAGGATGGAGCTTATTCGAATTACCACGATGAGAAATCATTTGATGAGTCGTCCGAGTATTTTTTTTAAAGACAGAATAGCCACTGAACAAAAACTATTATATGAGCCCCGACATTATGGTGAATGTAATTGTGGTCAAGCGTATGATTCATGTATCGAGCCCATGGGAATATATAAGTTTGTCGGTGATCCTGAGCCAATCTATACAATTCCTAATTTTTTCATGGGTTGCTATCTGGTTGAAGCATTATTTTTATCGACATTGGAATGTTTCTATAATAAATCATGTATGACGGATCTTCATAACTGGTTTGATTCGCCTCGCAACGAATCGTGGATCTTTCCAGCACTTAACTCAAGCCTTAGTCAAGCGAATAAGTCGATTGAATCGATTGTCGATGAATTGATGATTGATGATTGGTCAGAGACTGTCAATTTTAGTTCTTATTATTATAAATGCGCTCCAAGTACATGTTTCATCGAATATAACAGTCGTCAAAGTCTCTGGGAGATTGTCATCAGTATTACTGGTATTTTTGGTGGCTTATCCATTGGTTTTCAGTTGCTCATCTGGTCTAGCCTTCGATTAATCGAAAAATTCGTCAACGGATTTTCTCTGAAACTATCTTTACAGTTTTTAAAACGGATTTTTGGTTGGAATGATGAACAAAAGTTGAAGCGTCGATTACATATCATTCTAGTTATAGTGATTCTCTATGGTTTCTACATACGTCACGCTTTTCGTCCTCAGCTAATTGAAGAGACATTTAAGAAACCATCACTAGCCGTTTATGAAGATTTATATAGACAGTATCCCAACTCTTTGCATTGTTTTTGCTCAGAAATATCCATTCAGCATGATTCCTTTCTTAAGCTAACCACTAGCTTCCATCCAATGTGTGGCCGAGACTGGTATTCAGACATATTGGCCGCAGTCACTCTTGAACATCTTATTATGTTCCTTTTTCTTGAACCAGAATTTACATATGCAGGCCCGGCACAATTGCATACAGTCCGGTCACTATGTGAACTGTCTAAGGACACAGTAAACGATTCGATTAATCAGTTATTAGCAAGTCATATGGTCAATACTGAACTGTTATCTCGATCCTTATTAACCGAAAAAATTCAAACAAATATTGATGATATCAATTCTACAGCACCTAAAATATTAGCTAATACATTCGCATTGACTCGCATGATAACAACTACAAGCAAGTTAATGACTACCTATCGTAACACTTGGGTGTTTGAGGTTCCGCGAAATGTAGTTCTTTCACATACTGCGCACACAGTTCCAGTCACTAAGCAAGGATGCGACTGTGGATTTAATTCGAGCTGCATCTGGTCGCTTTTTGGGTTAACGATGGGTTGTTATACCATCGAAACTCTCTCGCAATGGTCAGTCGACTGTCTTTTCGATCTTAAATGTCTGACAGTAGAAAATATTTCTCAAGTATTCAATAGATCTGATAATCCAAGTAGTTTTCCTAATGGTTCAAGTTTTGAAGATGTTTTCAAGCAACTAATGGTGGAGGAATATGTGCCTGTTGTATCCTATGAAAATTACTTTCATATGTGTGCATCTTCCTTATGTGTTCGTTCTTATACCAAAGAAAGTAATCTAATCGAAGGAATTACAACAATGATTTCTCTCTATGGTGGCGTAGTAATCATCTGTAAGCTTGTTGCGGCAGCCATTGTCAAACTATTACGATGTCGATCAGTCCAAGTTACGCCAACGACAAACTGATCTAACAACAAACATTTCAATTTCCGCTTTATCTGATCGATGTGCTGGTGTTGGTACAAAACTATACATATGACTTAAAAAATGACAATATATGTTTTGACTGTCTTGAGGCTGGATGTAGATGAAGAAGGATTTGCTTGCTATTAACGTTAACAGGTGACATTCTATGCCTCTAACTCTTGACTTAATCGGCATAAAGCCAGTGTATTTCCTGTATCAAATAAATATTCAGTACTTTCGATAAAGAGTCTAGTATTTTAGTTTGACAAAGATATACACTGCCAAACGCATATTATTCTAGAAGCTTCTGGTAGGGTTTCATGTACTAGCATGATGAACTAACAAGGATTTTCTCTCATAAAGTTTTGACTAAGAATTATCTTGGCTGGTTTTTTACAATTGACAAGTTTGATCTATTTTTATTTGAAATAATTATTTAACACAATTGAAATGCATCTCAATCTACAAAAAAGAATGCTACTACAGACAGATAGATGAGATAGCTAAAATATAGAGTTTCTATCTTATGAATGGGATGCGAAGCAGAGCATCTAACTAATTCTTGGCGAGTTTCTAAGATGCAAAGCATCCTATATTGAGGTTATTCGCGAGTTTTCTTTATTTATTTCTTTCTTTCTTTCTTTCCAAGATTCGCATCAAAAGTTGTCATTTTGTGTTACACTGAGCTGTGCAATGGAATATCGGAAAATGCTCATTTAAGCGTGAGATTAACATACTAACGAGAAGGGTTCGCCGCCTTGAAAATCGCTTTTTAAGTTAATGATCTTTCCTCTTAAGATCGAACTGATACCACTCGTTTTCCATTTTTCAACAGGACGTTTCATTCGTTTACAGAAAGCGTCGCAAAAACACGATTTTGACTTTTTTAAATTTCAAGATAATTAAAACGAAAAGCAAAAGTTAAATTTAGACGCCACTTTTCTCTAACAACTGTTGTGCAGCTGAAACTACAGCTGATAATAGATAATGAATCATCTAGATAATTTTGTGAAAACCTTAAAATCGAGTTTCGCATCGCATTTCGCAGACGAGTCTCGATTTGTCTGCCATCTAGTTTTTATAAAGAATAAAGAAAATATTTTCGAGTGATCCGTAAATAGATAAATAAATGATATAAAAACAAGTAGTATTGGTCGTAGTTTTTTCTTATCACCTACTACATTCTAATATGAAATAATACTAGCAAATGAATTTGAGACACAAAAGATTTTTGAAAAAAACTTTTTTCCAGAATCTTTTGTAGCTTGTGTCCTTATAATATCTGGCGAACTTCCTGGAAAAGATAAAATTTTAGAGTTTTAAGAAAAAAAATTTTTTGATTCTTTATTTCAACTTTAGTTTTTAAAATGAAGTAACATTTTCTTTATCTTTATTTTAAAAAAAAAGCGCATCTTTATTCTTTATGAAATAAAGATAAAGTAACACTCCTAGTTCGAAGTGATTCGGGTTTTTTATGAAACCAAATGTCTCACTAATACTTTTTCGCGGAATAAAATGGTTTGTTCGGATTTTTCATCTTTTCTGAGTGGTCTGTTTGATAATACAGCACACATTTAGTAAGCAAATACCTTTCACTCGCATGCCACGAATGTACATGGACACTCATGCATCTATACCAGCAATGCATGTATATTGTAAAAATAATTTTAAAAATAATAAACATTAACTATTTTATTGCATATTTTCATACACTGCTGAGGCTATATAGTTTTTGTCACTAGTCATGAACTGCACCCAAACAGTTTGTTTTGGTGATATTCATTGAATAAGTTTCTGTTTGAGCTTTGATTAAAGATTCAAACTTGATTAACAATTAATGTTTCACTGTGCATCGGTTACATATACATGCATGAAACACAAGTCTTTTTCTACTTGCTTTTATATATAGATGCCAATTGAAAAAGATTCAAACAATTTGGATTAAGATCATACCTATTCGAGAAGCGAAATAGAACTAATTTTTATAGTACTGAAGCGTTCTCAAAATCTATGCTTCGTAGATATTATAAATGCCTGACGCGGTTCTGAAGCATGGGTGATAGTAAGTGTTACATTCATCTCTCCAGCTCAACTTCATATGGATCCGCACCCATACGTACACTCAAGGTCAAAGCAAGTTTATCAATTTATTGAATTTTAAATATATAGTAAATCATTTATTTCCAACAGAAAATCAATATGTGCATGAATATGAGTATTTTATTTTCAAGGAAATATTAGTCCCACGTGCAGGTTGAATTAGTATTCTTCGAATATCTTACTCTAATCTTTACATCTTACTTTCTATTTTATAATGTAGGGATATAAATGAGAGCAAGTAAGTATGATAGTATATATCATTTTCATATGCAATACTATTAAATTCAACCGAAAGTATATATAAATTGTTTCTTTTGTTTTTGCACATTTTATAAAATGCTTTAAATGAACAAGAAATGCCGTTAATTAACAAATTTAGTATTGACAAGTTTATGCGACTGTTGAATACTAGAGACAAATGAAATATAAGAGAAAAATAATGGAATTATTAATTCCTCAGTCTGGATGAAATTACTAGAGTTCATATAGCATTAAGAAAATATCACTAAAAGATTAAAACAATATCAACTTATATCATACAATGATATTCGAAATAACAGAGGAAGCGTATCGCTTGAAATCAATACAGGAGCAGAAACACCATTGAATATTTGGTAAAAATTTATTAGATGTAGTCAGTTGAAGTTAGAAATAAATACATTCTATGCTATAAACTCTAATGATTAAATAACTCATATATAAAATTTGAAACCTCGTAATAAGTAATGATGCTATCATATTTTACATCACGGTTTTGTTTTACTGATGAATCTAAAAAAATTCTGACATCAAAAATATAGGATATGTTTTGGATGAACTTGATCCGTATTATTCAATCTTGTATATCATAGAGGAAGTATAGACGTAATTATATTTTACTTATAGTTCATATAAAAGATGAGAAAGTGAATAATATAAAAAAAATCGTCATTCTACTTCATAATTACAAAATAGAAGAAACATATTGTTTTTGAAGAATAATGGCAGTTACGATATTACCATTGATACAAACTCAAATTACTCGTTATGGAATGTCTACTTTGCTGATTTTAGGTAATATTGGAAATATTATTATCATAGTTTTATTCAATCGGCGTCGTCAAAATTCATGTGCAATGTATTTATTATGTGCAGCAATTGTACAAAGTGCAACACTTACATTCAATAGTGTAATAAATCTTTATGTGCTTGATTATGATGATCTAACAGTTCACTCCCTTTTCTTATGTAAATTTCGTGCATATATTACACATATTTGGAATCAAACAGGTCGATATCTTACTGTGCTTGCATGTATTGATAGATATATTTGGACAGCAAATAATGCGCATGCAAGACTTATAAATCGACCATCAACTTCGCGTTATCTTACAGCAATTTTGTTTTTATTCTGGCATATTTTTTCTATTCATATAGCTATTTTAGTAACAATTCATAATGGAAGATGTGGTTCATTTGGTGTTTATTATGTTATTTATCAAGTGTATGCTGCAACTTTTCTTGGTTTACTTCCACCAGTATTAATGAGTATATTTGGTTTTTTAGCTTATCATAATATGAAAAAATTACATTTACGTGTGCGACCAATTGGTAATCTTGGTTACGATAGTATTATAATTCATCGTCGTGATCGAGATCTATTATTGATGGTATTAACTGAAGTTGTTATTTATGTTGTGACAGCAATTCCATATCCATTTATTGTACTAGAAGTTGCAGTAACAAACTATATCGGTGTTAATAAATCTACTCAGCGTGTTGAAATTGAAAATTTTCTTAATTCTACTGCATTAACACTTTTTTCTGTTACTTATGGTTCTCGTTTTTATACATATTTCGCTGTATCAAAAGCATTTCGAAAAGATTGTAAGACACTTTTTATCAAATGGAAAAATCATCTAGTTCGACCATCGACTATGAATCAAATCCCAAGAACAAGACAATTGCAAATATAAAATATATATATTTCGGAAAAAAATTAACATTGTAGAATGGTATTATTTTTAAGAAATAAATAATATGCGATGCTAAAGTCAGAAGAAAAAGTCAAATCCTTATTAGTTGGATAGATATAAGTCTAACTGAATATTTCGTGATTATCTAACAGCTTGTTCCTTTCTCTTTTGAATAATTATTATCGCTTGAAATAATAAATTTTAGATGGAAGCAGAAAAATAAGTTTAACAGAATATAATTCAAGTTATATAGTAAATATAAAGGGTGTTACCGAAGTTCTGAAACGAGGATGACAATCTTATGTTTTCTCGCTTATGGAAAACGAATCCTCTTGAAACTTTTACAGATTGTTGATCATAACTACTACTATATAAACATGGAGTTTCGGCTATATTGCTGCTTCCATTGATTAGAAACTAGAAAAATACTGTTGAGTAAAATCTCGACAAGTTTTACAACAGCTAAATTTGTTGTAAATGACAGTAAAATCGTTATTTCTAAGATCTTATCGTTAAATTCATTTTTGTTGTATAAAGTCGTGGATTTCTGACTGAATAAGAAAATTTGTGATGTCTTTAGCTTCCTATGATCAATTAATTTGCCGTAAATGTAATAAATGCATACAAATGAACGAAATTCTTTTTTTTTCTTCCATTAATGGTTCATACAACATGTTGTGTGTTAATTCATTGGCAAAAGGCTCATGCGATTTCTTACATATCTCAGTGATCAATACGTGCACAAGAAAATATATGTAATTGAAAGAGACACTTTCCAGCCTCATATATTTAATTAAAACACCCTAGAAATAACAATTTTACTGTCATTTATATCAAATTTAGCTGATATAAAATTTTCACCCTTGTTTCAGAACTTCCGTAACACCCTTTATCATTTTTTTTTGTTTGATCTAGTTTGCATAGGCTATTTTTTTATCACGAAGAATATTATGAATGATCGATTATTAATTGAAATATTTAAACAAATTAAAAAAATATCATGAAAAAGATCTGTGTCACACAGTACATTAAAATAAGAAAAAGAATATTGATTAGTCAATTTCGATATATTTAATTTTTCCAAAAATGTTTTATATCGAAATAATTTACTATTCATAATAATGATTTGAATTTTAAACACTTCATGAATTTTTTTTGTTATATGTTATCGTTAGTTCAATTAATAAAAACAATAAACAGACTATAATAATTTATGTTTATGAGCTAGAATAAAAATGATTGTTTCCTCCATATTTTTGTTAATTATCCATTAGTTGATCTTCTTTTCTTTTTTTAATAATCTTGTCGACGAACATGTGGTCGAGTGTTTTCAAGACTATCATCTTCATTTTCTGGTCGACCGGCATCTGGACTTGGAAGTTTTTTATCTGTTGGAGTAACATTCCATATATCTTTTGCATACTCTCGAATTGCTCGATCTGATGAAAATTTACCGGCTGCTGCTATATTTAAAATACATTTCTTTGTCCATTCAGTTCCATCCTAAAGATAAAAGAAAAATAAATCGTTTTTTTTTCTTTCCCTTAAATTCATACTTTATAAAGTTGTTCAACACGTTCATGTGCTTTCATATATTCTTCATAATCAGCAAGTAACATAAATCTAAAAAAATAGGATAAATAACCAATTGTTTATTCATAAGAAAATTCTCGACTTACTTTTCGTCGGATTCAAGTAAACTTTTAACAATATCTGAAAATAGATTCGGATCTTCCGGTGAAAAAACTCCATCTCGTATTTGTTCGATTGCTTGTTTTAATTCGGCATTATGTTCATAATAATCTTTTGCATTATATCTATTTAACAAATCTCATTTAAAAATAACTATCTTATACAATTTTTATTTACCCCTTTTCACGTAATTCATCAACTTCTTTGTATGTCAAACCAAATGTAAAAATATTATCTTTTCCAACTTCTTCACATATTTCAACATTTGCACCATCCATTGTACCGATAGTTAATCCTCCATTAAGCATCATTTTCATATTACTTGTACCTGATGCTTCCAAACCAGCTAATGATATTTGTTCAGATAAATCAACAGCCGGAATTATTTTTTCAGCTAAAATGAAATAAATGATTTAAAAGATCAAATTTATCAAGATTAATGGACTAGGGATGTATCAAGATTTTCGCGCACCCTCGCCAAAAACAACGCCCGTTCGGTGCTGATACAAATACCATATATGTATGGATCATTACTGCAAATTAGGAATGCAACGGTAACGGTAACCGTATTAACCGGTAAACGTTCCATCTTGAGGGCGTGGGTGTGGGGTGGACGTTAGTGATAGATGAAATAAATACGCACACCTACACCCTCAAGATGAAACGGTTACCGATTCAAACGGTGAACCGGTGACTAACGGTCACCGCTGCATCCCTACTGCAAATGTTTAATTCATAAAAATCATTCGAAATACTTACCAAGACTAACACCATAATTTTCAAGAAAAACAACTCGGAGTCGATCACCGATAACTGGATCTTCACTAACCGTACGTGCAACATTACAAATTAATTTAATAACTAAAATGACATAGAAAAAAATCATATAGTTTAATTTTATTATTATTATTTTAACTTACTTAATTTAGCAGTTTTATAACCAGGTGCAGCCTGAAAAAAAGAACAAAATTTTTCTTTCTAGAAAAATGAATATTTATTATTTAAACCTTTCCACCAAAAATGATTGTACGTTGAATAACATCCTTATCTGGATTAGCTTTAATACGATTATAGACTGTAATAACACGAAGACAGTTTAATAATTGTCGTTTATATTCATGTAAACGTTTTACTTGTACGTCAAACATTGAATTTGGATTAATATTAACATTAAAATTCTTTTTAAGAAATTTACTTAAACGTTCTTTATTTTCCTAGAAAAGAAAATAATGTTTTTTTTTATCAAAAAGATATTTTCATACAAATTTAACACGTTGAATATCACGAATAAATTGTTCATCATCAACATAATCTCGTAATTGTTTTAATTGTGCCAGATCTGTAATCCAACCTTCACCTATTTTAGTTGTAATAAGATCTGCTAAATCGGGATTGCATATGAGTAACCAACGACGTGGTGTTATACCATTCGTTTTATTTTGAAATTTTTCTGGATTGAGTTCATAAAAATCTTTCATACTATAGAAGATATGTAAAAAATAAAATTGATTTATATGAAAAAAAAATTTACATAGTAGATTTAAGTAAATCGCTATGCATTTGAGCAACACCATTAACTGCATGCGAACCAACGACAGATAAATAACCCATATTGACTTTCTGAAATAAAAGACAAATGTTCAAAGTTGCTGTTGAGGTTATCTTAGGCATGTAGCGAACTCGAACGTTCGGGTTCGCTATATGACTAGTTTATCTATTTCCGTCATTCTTCTTACTTTTGCTTCATCGTCAATGATTGTCATACGTTTCATACGTTCTTTATCTTCTGGCCATTTTTTCTGTACAATCTAAATAGAACAAAAAATGATTAATTATATCAATTTCTTATTATTATCATCTTACATCTAAATGATGTGCATTAATATCGGTTATTAATTGAAAATGACGTGGTAAAAGTTTTTGAAACATATCAATTGGCCATTTTTCAAGTGCTTCTGGTAAAAGTGTATGATTTGTAAAAGCAATAGTTCTTTTTGTTATATCAAATGCTTGATCCCAACCAAGATTTTCTACATCAATTAATAAACGCATTAATTCTACAACACTTAAAGCTGGATGTGTATCATTTAATTGAATAGCTGCTTTATCTGGAAAATTTGTAAAATCAACTTGTTGATCTGCTTTTAAATTTATTTTCGATCGTTTATAACGTGCTATAATATCTTGTACCGATGCTGATACTAAGAAATATTCTTGTTTTAAACGAAGAATTTTTCCTTCATCGAACTAAATAATAGAAAAAAGATATATTAACAAACGTAAACTAAAACATATATACATACATCATCATTTGGATATAATACTCGAGTAATATCTTCTGATGAACTCTAGAGAAAATGAAAAAAAAATAATATCAATTAAATCGTTTGTTCTTTTATTTTCTTGAATATAGTTTTACTTGTTCAGCAACAGCACGAATATAATCACCACTATTGAATAATGCAAAATTAAATTTTTCGGAAGCTTTTGCGGACCATAAACGTAATGTATTTACTACGTTATTATTATAACCAGGAATCTAATAAATAACATATATTTAAAAATAGAATTAAAGACTAAACTTAGATAGAAGTGAAAGACTTATATTAATGATTACATAGTAATATAACTCAATACACAGTTAAGATTCAAAGAAGAAAAAAGTTCATAATTTTTGATGCTATACGAAGTTAGATAAATACTGAAGTATAGTCGTCATAAGTATGGATATTGTATCATACGTTTCCTTATAATTAGGAATATGTAGTAAACGATGATACAGTGAATATGCTACTATAAATTGTTCTTAGAAAAACTTAAGTAATTTATCGATGAGAATAGGTTAATCATTTCTTCTATAGAACTCAACTCATTATGTATCGTTCGTATATTTTTTATGAAAATTTCCTTATACTAACTGCGTCAAAAACTGAATCTTTATCATATAAATATAAGTGATAGTACTATAAGAGATGTCTTTATTCTTACTGGTGAATCGTATGGCATAGCATGAACAGTTATATATTCGACCCATTTCTTCTTTCCATCTTTATCATCGATAACTTTACCATAATATTGCACAGGTACGAGAAATTCTGGTCGACTTATTTCCCATGGACATGCATATCTTAACATAATATGTTATTTAAAAAGACAAAAAAAGAAGTTTCGCGTGCAATACCTTAACCAATTCTCTGGATATTCTTTTTGATAACCATCTTCAATTTTTTGAGCAAAAATTCCTTTAAAAGAAAACCAAATTGATTTTGCATAGAAATTATCTTAAAAGATATTTACCATAATCATATCGAAGACCATATCCATAGGCAGAAAGACCTAATGTAGCCATACTATCGAGATAACAAGCAGCTAATCGTCCTGAGAAAAGAAAACATCGATTGTTTTATAATGATGTGTACTGTTATGAATTTCTAACTTACCAAGACCCCCATTTCCAAGTGCAGCTTCCGATTCAAGTTCTTCTAATTCTTCAATATTCAAACCCATTTCATAAAGAGCTTCATCAACAGAATTTTCAATGCCTAAATTAATCATACAATTAGATAATGCTCTTCCCATATGATATTCGAGTGAAAGATAATAAACACGCTTTAAATACAAATACAAATAAATATTTATTATTAAACATATATATATATAAAATTTCTACCTTTTGATCAGTTTCAAAATGATATTGATTTGTACGAATCCATCTACTAACAAGATGATCACGAACTAAATAAATTGAATTAATAAAAATAAGTAAATTTAATTCAAAACAAACCGGTATAAGCTATTGATTCATAATAATCATGATCAGTAGCAACATCACGATCTTTGACAATAGTGAAATGTAAATGACGATTAAATACTTTTTTAACTTCTTCAACATTTTCTAACTAGAAAGAAAAAATATATATGTAAAAGATCGAAATTTATGTTCGAGAATTTACCAATGGAATACCACGAATACTAATTTGTTTATAATTGTTTTCTTTTAATGCTGGTGCATGTTTTTTTGAAGATGTCGAATCAGATGAATTTTCTTGCTTCTTTTTATTTTCAACAGTAGCATCTTTATTACTTTCATTGGATTTTGATTTCTATTATAAATTTAATTTAAATAAACAATAAACTATCTATTAAAAAAATATACCTCTTGATCCATTTGATATTAATTTTAATGTAAGATATTATATGAAAATAAGTTACGTAGTTTATTTGGGTGTAGTGGATAGAATATGAAATTATACGTGTGTTGTATTACGTTTGTTTTTCGTATTAATGGTGGTATTTATTATTTTTGTGTTTGTTGTGCAATGATTGGTTGAAAGGTTGTAATATAATAGTACTCCAAGTACTGTCGTATGTCGTAGAGCGAAGAGTAGAAGGAACGAATACAAATAAACAGTCTGGTTTAGCGTGTTAAATACAGAACACGATAAAAAGCACGTGTCATAAACTGAATGCGACTTTTTTAGTAATGATAATCAGTTTATCTGTGGTAAGAAATTGATACTATGCTCTTAAAGTTCAATCAATTTTTGTACGATTTAATATTCTTTTTTTCTACATCTATTCACTTTCTATTTCCCTATCAACAATAATAGTAGGAAAATGTTATTAAATAAAGTATTGTTTTTCTTCTCAAGCAAACGTTAATATTTTAAAATGCATAAATGACAGTATCATCAAGTATAATAACGTCACTTTGTAATTAAACGTAAAATATAGAATCAGCGAAAATTATTATATATTTTTGCGTAGTTTGTAAATTATAAAGTTAATCATTCGTATAGTTTCTGAATGTATTCTATAAAGGTAAATGAGAAAAATATTATTTTTATTTAAATACTACCTTGTATAAATATAATGTAAATTTTTTTATTTCTGATAACTAGTTATTTACTATATTAGAACTTAACTTAATAAAGAGCAAGGGGAATAAACTGATTCCTGGGCTAGAAATCATTCAAATTCACTATTTTACGTTAAAGCCATAGAAAATGACTGAGAAAAATTCATTGCAAATCGGTAGAAATCAGTGAAAAATATTCAAAGTTACACTAAAATCATTGATATTCATGTTAAAAATTAGACCTTGATTTTTATTGATTTCCAATGAATTTTATTGACTTTTCAAATTTCCGATAGTTTTCAATATCTCCAGCGAATACTTACATTTTGTATGATTTCTTGTTGTTTGTTTCTATCAGTTTTCGATGATTTATATTGCCTTTTGATCAACACAAAAATGCTGATTTGCGATCTAGAAATCAGTTTGTTCCCCCTTGATAAAACCCTATAATTAACATGGTTGATTTCAGTATAGTGAGATATTTATATGATATTTCACATTATTATATGCTCTGTTTATAAAAAAAAGAGATATCAGCAAGATTTTTAAATTAATTAATATAAGTAAAACATTAATAGTATGCAATCAAAACTATCTATGTAGATTGTTCACAAGCTGAAAGAATTATTTGACGTGTAAATAAAAAAAACAATACTTCGTGTCATCCTATTATGTAATGAATAAAAAAAACAACACATGATATTATACTTCGTATGAAACATTTATAAACACGTTGTTTTTCATTGTCACATGCTTTATCGAGTTCGATTCAATAATTCATATAGAATGCAAATATGTTTTCGATATCATTCTTTGAATTTTTCCATACATTAAATATTTCTACGTCGTTGAATTTAACAAGATTCACATCGAATGAATATCTGATGATATAATATACGAAATATTTTTTTTTATCTTTCTACACAAATATGATAAAATACTAGTGAAAGAGGCTTGGTAAAAGGCAGGGTTTCATTCCACTACAAAATACTGGACTGAAATTTTTCTTATCAAAATATACTTTGGATTTTAGTTTTACGTTTTTTAATTTTGAAAAAAAGAGTAAAGTGGCAACCAGGTTAGATAGTAAAATAATATGTCTTAAACAATGCATTGTAGTAGATTTATAAAAAAAATTATATTCTATGACCTCGATGAAGTTATCTTTTACTGAAAAATAGTACACACATATACTATTATATTTCAATTGCGATGTTTTAAATCTAAAATATTTATTTCAAATAAAATTATTAGCATATAATTTAATAAGTATGTGTAGCAGAGTTCTTAATCGATAAAAGAATTTGAATCTAAATCTATACATAATTTTGTTTTTATATATGATCAATTACAGCAAGGACATCATATTACTTCTTACAGTATTTAATTGATACTTTATTATTTATTACTGACGATGATTGTATAATATTTTATATAATATGTTCCACTCGAACATTTACTGTTGTGGATACTAACTCTCGAAAGGTTATTGATAAAAGTTGAAAGTTAATCTTTATTTTTGCCTGGATGTGTTATTAAGATTAAATATTTGGCAATACTTCAGTGCAAGAAATGACCCATTTTTTTTTGATTAAATAAATATTTTATCACTGTCATGATGTCAAGATTCCCAGAGAAAAATATTCTTATCAGTTAACTTTTCACACAAAATGTAATAACAAAAAATAAGAGGGAGGGAGGGAGAGAGGGGCGAAACACTGTGATTTATTGTATGTCACTGAATACTTCCTCGGAATGATCGCACCATAATAAACATCATGTGATTAACTTAGCTTATGCGTCATTCTAAATCTAGTCACTCTTATGCGCGTGATCATTATTCTTTGTATTTTCTATAATAGATTAACGACAATGTGCGCATGCAAGCACATGAGTTACACGTATAACGCACTCGTTCTGTCACTTATATTTTGCCCTTCAACAGAATAGAGAAGAATATAGACTTGAATCGCTACCTCTATAGCGTCACACACAACGCCATAGCATCATATGATGAAAAGAAAGAGAAAGATATAGCAAAATAGAACAGCAACATTCCGCGAGCGTGTGCTTTCTAGCAAAGAATATATTTGTCATCTGACTAACATATAATATTTACTGATCACATGATCTCCATAAAGTACTGAAATGTAAGAGATAGTACCCAGCTATGGCTAGCGCTCCCCCTTTTTTATTCGTAATAGCACGCACACCCTTCGTGTCTCTCACCCGCTTTATCAGGATGTATATAAGGCCTACAAAATTTCTCATTTATTATAAAAAAATCTATCTACTACAACAAAATATCAGATCTGTTGGTCAAACTTCACAAGTAGTTCTTGCAAACAAGAATCTCTATTATGAAAACGGTAAATAAATATATTACTTCTATTCAATCAATATATATATATATATTCTTTTTAATAGCCAAACTTTGCCTGTCTCTTTGATATTGATGGTGTTATTACTAAAGGTCCAAACTTTATTACTGTTGCTAAACCAGCAATTCAAAAATTGATTCAACTCAAAGTACCTGTTGTATTTCTCTCAAATACATGTATGCTTGAAGCAGATAAAGCTAAACAATTAACAGCTGTACTTGGTATTACTGTAAGTTAATCTTTCGAAGATTGAAAATTCATTTTCGAATCATATATATTTAAATTATAGATTCATCCAGAACAAGTTGTTTTGGCTCAAACACCAATGCGTTCATTAACTGAATATCATAATAAACATGTTTTAATTTCTGGACAAGGTCCAATTGAAGAAATTGGTCGAACGTATGTATTTTAATTTCGATTATAAAAAGATGATTTATTTTTTTTCTCTTTTTTAATATAGGCTTGGCTTCAAAAGTATGACAACAATTGAAAAAGTTTGCTCAGCATTTCCAGAATTGGATATGGTCAATCATATGAATCGAGCTCAGTTGGTAAGTGTAAAAATAAGGAAAGATTCTTTTCGATATTCATATTTATCATCTGTTTTAGAGTGAAATGATTAAAACCCAAGGTCTTGTTCGTGATGAAAATTTTCGTCCCATTGATGGTAAATATTCTATTTTTTAATCTCTTCTTAATAATTTTATTATTAATCTATGTATAGGTATTGTTTTACTTGGTGAACCAGTACAATGGGAAAGATCATTACAAGTTATTACTGATCTTCTTTTAACCGATGGTAATCCAGGTGCTATACCAGATGATTCCGATGCTGATCGTGATCATATACCAATTATTGCTTGTAATAGAGATCTTGTATTCAAAGCTGCTGCTGATTTACCACGTTTTGGTCATGGTGCTTTTCTTACATGTTTAGAAGCCTTATATAAAGTAAATAATTCTTTTTACTTTTACGAATATATAATTTTATTATATTTTATTTATAGAATTTAAGTGGAAATGAACTTAAATATACATCATTTGTTGGTAAACCATTTGAAATATCATATCAATATGCTGAAGCAGTAGCTAATAAAATTGCATTAGCTAGTGGTCAATCAAAAATTGAAAAAATTTATTTCATTGGAGATAATCCTGATGTTGATATTGTTGGTGCAAATATGTATAATCAATTATTACAACAAGCAACAATTTTGAAGAAAAGTATTAGTGGTTACAGTTTACTTCCAGAATCAAAATTTTTAAGTGCAACTTCATGTGAATCTGTATTAGTATGCACAGGTGTTTACGATCCAGCCAAACACAAACTTGAAGGAAAAAATCAATGGAAAGTACCAACAAAAATTGAAAATGATGTTTTGGATGCTATTAAATATATTCTTGCAAAAGAAGGTCGTCCATGGACAGTTGGTTTTTAGAATGATTGTATATATTTTAAAAAAAAAACTTTAGTGTTCGTTTTGAGTGTATATAAGTCCGTCAGATTTAGTTATTATATTGTTTTGCTGATCAGTTTTTATGTAAATATATATACGCTTGTGACAAATATATATATATGCTATTTGTAAATAAATAAAGATCTTGTTTTAGTTAGAAAAACAAAACTACTATTCTTTCAATATTCTATAAAACAAATAATAATAGAAAAAAAGTTAAATTTATACTTTATATCAGCTTGTATTTACTATCAATAATGATAACTACCAAGTTGAGAATGAAAATAAACACGGTCCCTTAGCTCAGCTGGTTAGAGCGCCGTGCTAATAACGCGGAGGTCATGAGTTCGATCCTCATAGGGACCAAACCTTTTTTTCTTTCTGTTTTCTTTTTACACTGCAAAAAACATCTATAAATAAATTTCGATTTACTAAGATAGCATTTTTTTTCTTCTATAAAGTAAGAATTATAAACTTGCAAAAAAATATCAGCGTTTTTTTACTTCGAATTCATCTAAATGCATCATGTTTCGATGATTGTATGTATTTATATTTTCATCAAATAAAGTGTCAGAATAAAATCCAATAGTTCGAGATGGATTTAGAAGGAGATCGTAGGAGTTAATCTTTTTTGCAAATGTTTAGATATTTGAAGAGAAATACAAGAAGATTTAAGTGTCATAAGTCAACAAGTATTTTTCCTTGTCTTTTTTTGAAAAGAATTTCTAATACCAAACAATCTCTAACAATATTAAAATTTTATTATAGTATCATTCATATGAAGAATTGCATAATTTATTCATAGTTTGTTAACAAAAGTAGCTTTGATTTCGTATCAAATTAATATTCAATATAGTCTTATACAAAGTTGTAAATTAGATACGATGACATATTTCAAAAAACCTACTTCGAATTTAATGCCGTTGAATTTTTAAAAGCTTTTCATGAATTTCATATTTTATTAAACAGAATGAAATACAATGTATGATAATATATCAGTATTTTTTTATAAAATAGTTTAAAAAACGCTGTTCACTCAATAATTTCGAGTATAAATCTACTTATTTCTCCTTTTTTTAAATAAATAGCTCAACCAAATTTTACTCAATTAGTTTTCTTTGTGATAATTTATCTCTTACATTAGATTTTTGTTATATTCAATTTTTTTATGTATACCCTGGTCGAGCAATCAGATAGCAAGATCTTGTAAGAATCGTATCTATGATCATATATGATCGGATGAAGTCAGACAAGGATCATACAAAAAATCGTGGTTCCTGATTTCTTGCACTAGTTCGTGCTATAAGAACTGTTATAAGATTCTTATGCAGTACAATGCCACCATAATATTCTACTAAAATTATTACTGAGAAAATACAATGCACGTAAGATATTTTAACAAAAACATGTTATGACTAGATACAAGATTCCACGGACCACGATTTTTTGCCAGATTCTTGTAAGATTTTTTGACCTGGGTAGTTGCAAATGTGATAATCTCGTAATACATCTTTCAAATACTTGTACACAATCATCTGTTTTTATTTGTATATCTTCTGGATAACATAAAATAAACTAGGAAAAGTAATACTTTATATCTGATTTTTTGCAACTAGGAAAAGTTTGTGTGCTCTGTAATAAATTTTTCTTTTAAACAGAATTGAATTATATTATTTTCAAGTAATGTATCGAATGTTATATTGACACTTGATTGTCTAGTGATGTGAAAAACTGTATCAAAATTTACACATGCTTTTTGTAAATTTCCTATTTTATACATATGACCTTCGCCATATGATTTTATTGATTCATCTTTTTCTGATACATTCAAAGAAGGTATCTGATCGAAAGAAAAAATGATAGACAAATTGTTAAACGAAGGTTATACCTTTGTTTATTTAAACGTTTAGCAATATATTGATCAATATTACGAACTGCCCTAGTAACAAGAATGAATGAAGGTGAATTTATTGGTACCACCTTGGAAGTACAAATTAATGTGTAATAAAGAATCATTATAAAAAATAATGATGAAAATAAATATAATATATGTTACACTTCAATGAATCTTCCAATAATTTATTTTATTGTTCTATTTTTTTTTCACCAATGGAAACAACACTATACTATTCGAAGATAATCTATTCGCATTGTAATAAATTATTTTAACGACGAATGTGGTATATATTTTGATAGATTATAAAACGTTATCAATTCGTCAATATATCATTCACTCGATTTGATCTTTCATAGAGAAAATCATTTTATTGTATGCATATCTTAATAAATTTTTTTCTAAGGTTTTTGTACGACTTAATTAATTTTTTTTCCATTAAGAAAACCTCAATTTGAATATAATATTAGCAACTTCACGGTTTTCCATTTTAAAATATCATAAATTCTGCTTAAAGTCAGTTTTTTCAGTGCAAAGACTTCGAGTACATTATTTCTTTCTATTTTAGAATAGCCTATATTTACATTGTTCATAAATAATTCTATATAAAATTAGAACTAAAACATGTTAGACATGCCTGTCATAATATTTTACTTTGTTCTCAAAACAAGAGCTAACATAGATAGAAATATTTTCCTCCTTCAAACTTTTTAAATCAGTTATTGTTTTCATTAAAAAGAAAAAAAAGTCTTGTAATTTAATATAGCCGAACGGCAAACAAACTATTATTAACTTGAAAATCTATTATATAAACACCTTGAATTTTATTTCTATATGTTTCATATATATATATATTAATAAATATAATTTGATTAAAAATCAATTGAAAACTATTTTTTTCAAAGATACATGCTCAATTTCATACATTCAATCTTTAATTTCTTTTTTCTCATCGAATATAAATGTGACAAATTATTTGCCATTTTCTCATCCACACATAAAATTGCACTGCTGTTACTTTTCTCTATGTATATGCGAGCACACACACACACATACGCATACACCAGCAAGCAAGCTGTTTCGCGCTGTCGTTGCCTTTATTCCCTACTCTTTCTTTTTTCCTTTCACATCACTATGTGTTTCTCTATGTAGACAGACGGAGACGAACACATACATGACTGCTTTATGTTTAAAAAAAAGCAGCGAGAGAGACATACACGTCATGTTTGTGCGTTTTCTTCTATTCACCACTGCCTGACTAGGTCACATTTCTCTCTTGTTCGTTGTTCATTCATAATAAAAAGAGTGCAACGATCGTATTTATTCATTTGTTTTGTGTGTTCAAATTCAGTTGCTCGAATAGCTATATCGTCATCTATATCGATATTTTAGATTCGTATATTCATTTCAATAAAACTTAATACAATGCCTCGTGGTGCTTCTGGTTCATCGAAAAAAGCTAACAAAGATCCAAATGCTCCAAAACGACCATTATCAGCATTCTTTCTCTTTTCACAAGATGAACGACCTGATATAAAGAAAAAGAGTCCATCATTGTCTGTTGGCGATATTTCTAAAGAAATTGGTGCCCGATGGAAAAAAGTCACGTAAATAATAAAACAATAAATTTTCATATATCCATATGTTAATATATTAAATTTTTATCTTATAGTGATGATACTAAAAAACGTTATGAACAAAAGGCTGCAGTTGAAAAACAAAAATATGAGCAACGTCTTTCAGAATATAAAAAGAGTGGTGGTGGCGGCGGTGGTGGTTCACCTGCTAAAGCTAGTAAAGGTGGAGCAAAAGCATCTTCAAGCAAAAAAGCATCACCAAAGAAACCTGTTGGTAAAAAAGCACCAGCTAAAGCAAAATCATCGGATGAAGACAATGATGACGACGATGAAGATGATGACGATGAAGATGAAGATTAAATTCCTGTTTTTTTTTTTGGTCGAGTTATGAATAAATTTTTTTTTTCTGTACTATTTGTTGTAGAATGACACATTTGTATGTATGAACTTGTGTGCTTGTCTCTATATTTTTTTGTATACAACTTTCTTTGTCTATGTGTGTGTATTAACATTACTATGTTTGTTCTTGTTGTTGTTTTCACTGGCAAAAGAAAATAAATGTGGAAGTAGTAGTGAAGAAAAATTATCTTATTAAATATCGCAGGATTTATTAGTCAATGAAGAAGAAAGAAAAAAGAAACGTTAGAAAGTAGAAGAAGAAGATGAGGTTAGCTGTTGTTTTCATTTCATCCTTTTCTTACCGTTTTTACCCATTATATAGAATGGCTGCTGTAATTATTATACTTTTTGTTTTGTATTCATCTATAATGGCAACAACCACATCAAATATTCATCCGTGCTATATGGAAACCTATAACGAAACGTTAAATATTCGAAATTGTTTAGATTCTCCTATAGAAATTGAAACAACACGTTGTCGTGGTCAATGTTATTCGGAAGATTTTTTAATTCATGATTGGCAATCTGAATCAACGTCCTACCGACATAATCATCGTATTCATTGTTGTATACCAAATATGACAATTCCTCGTCAGATTCTCGTAATATGTAATAATCAACAACAACGTATTATAAACTATCCGTCTGTTACACGATGTGATTGTAAATCATGTACTGACAACTGTCGAGATTAAAGTAAAGAAGAAATTTAATAAATGAACAATTGCTTTTTCTCTTTTTTAAAGAGGAGATAAAGTAGAAACAACAAACAAAAAAAAACATCTTTCTTTTTCTGCAAAATACAAAGCATTAAACAAAAAAGGATTTTTTTTAAATACAAATACATATCGATATGTTCATTTTTTTTCGCTCTTCAAGAAATAATAAGAATAATATCTAACAAGAAAACAAAATGAACATTTTTGTTATATAACAAAAGAAAAAAAAACAGAAAAACAAGAATAGCTTTTTTTCTCTCTCCTAAAGAAATTTTTCATCCATTTCAAATATTATATAGAATTAAGGCAAACAAAAAATAAATGGCTATGATAATCACAGAAATTAGTGTGTTTTTTTCTTCTTAAACAGATATTTCATAATGTTTATTAGGTAGATTTGAACTATCTTTTCTTGATAGTGATTGAGGTAGTAATGGTTGTTTAGGATAATCGAAAGCAAACGATTGTAATGGATGTGCTTGTCTATAAGATTCAGTACGAAGTGTCATAGCACTCGTCGTAGATGCTGTATCACCTTGAATATCATTATTTACTGTATTCATTCTCTTTGTTGGTTTAGTTTTTGATAAATAATCAATAGGTGTACCAGGTATTGGTCGTTGACGATGACCATGAATATCATATGTATATTCTTCATTTTCATCGATATTATCATATGAATAACGTGATGATAAAGACATGTTGGAGAAACTACGACGCATATTTGTTTTAGATTTTACTTGATTTTTTACTGGTTGAACTGGAGATGACGAGGAAGAAGAGGACATGTGTGAGCTTGATGAAGTTGGCTGTAAAAATAGAATAAATTTATAATTAAGATGAGATTAAAACTCATTTTTCTTTCTAATTTACAAAAATCTCAAGGATTAATATTTGAATTTTACGAAAAATATTAATTAGTAATAAATCCAACAAAAAAGAATCAATTAATGATATATTACATAGCATCTTTACAGAACACTATTTATGACCTTCTAATCAATACTATCTTAAACTGATTCTTTCTTTTTTTGTACGCTTTGGTAACAAGTTTATGGATAATTAAATAGGTTGTTTTGATTTAGATTAATTGCTTACACATTGTCAAGAGACTGAGGACAAAATTACACAACAAATCAACCGAATACAATTATATTATATTCTAACATGACTCAATACGAAACAAAAAAAAGAATTCAATATTTTAGATCAATTGACAAGATGTTTAGTTACATTTAATCTAATTCGAAAGTGTATACTGGTCTAAATTGTTTTGATTCCTTTTTTCTCAGTAAAAAGCATTAAAAAACACGTCATACTAACCGACTTTTCAGCATGACTACCGCCACTACCAATAGATAAGGTAATATACTCTATCTAAGTTCTATTCAAAATACGTTCATCTACAGACTGACATATATAAATATAATTTTCTATTTCACACATGTTGATTTTCCGAAAATAGAGCGTTGTTTCTTTTTATGTAATTACTTCTTAACAAGGTCGTCTGTTTGACTTACTTGTTGTTCAGGAATTTTGATTGGTTTATTATTAGGTTTTGGTCTACGTTTAGAAACTAAACCTATAAAAGACAAAAAATAAATAGGTCATAATTTATTTTCGCGAAAATTTTACTTCTTTCATCTACTGGATTAACATGAATATTAGGTTGATGTCTTGTTTCACCATTTTCATCTCGAACAATTTTTTTCTTCTTCCGTTTTGGTTGTTTTTCTTCATCATCTTTTGTATTTTCATAGATAACTTTTGTTGAAAATTTTTTCGTTGAATTTTTCTTTCCATTTGATAAACGATTAGTACCATATGCCATTTTTTCAAATAGTTCAATATTATAACGTTTAATTTTAGGTGCTTTTATTTGAGGATACAATGGTTGACAAAGAAGATAAGCAAAATTTCGAAGAAAACCTTTTGTAAATACATCGCCTTGTTGATGATATTTTCCTGTTACTTGTTCGTTTGTTGTTCGACCTCTTGCAATAAGAAACATATGAAAACCGGTTAGACCACCGATTGGTATAGATAAAAGACCGAGTAATATTAGTAAAACAATACAAATTATAAATCGATAGTCCGAAAGACCAATAAATGTTGATTTGGGTAAATTTGTTGATGATATGATATCATGTTCACTTTTTGGAACTAATGAATCATATGTATCAGATATAAGTGTAGTTGTTATTATTTTATGATGACGATCATGTAGAACGTAATATAAACAAAATGTAAAAAGTAATATCATATGAATACAGAGTAAAAATAAAAATTGAAAAAAATAACGATAATTACGACGACCTAAATTAATAAAACAAAAGTAATTTTTACATTTTTCTTAATAGTTTTTATACATACCAACACAATTATTTAACCAAGGACAATGATGATCGAATGTCTAAAATATAATTACTTATTGAATTTATAAAATAGAACAAAAAAAAACGTTTTTCTTTCTAGGGGGTAGTCAAGAACTTTATATTAACATTTTTTGTAATTATTACTAAGGATGGATGATTTCAATCATGGTCAAATGAATTCTAATCTTTACAATGGAATATACTAAAAATCTAAAGCAATTTCATATCAAAGGGCATATTCTCCCTTCTTACCTTTTAACAAAAAAGTTTATATAAACAATTAACAAGTCAGTTTAATGTTAAATATATAACCATTCATTAATATCTAATTCCAAAAACAAATAAAGAATCGATTTTACTCATCTCTATAAAATATCATATGCAAATCCTTGTTTTATCTCATATAACGATGATTTTAATTGTATTATGTGTTCGAATTTCTCTTCGTTTTTGTTGAATTATTCAAAATTAAGATAGTATGTACTCTATTTTGGTAGAATCTATGAATGACAATGTACTTCATTGTAATCAAGAGGCTACTCTTCTATGTTAAGAAATAAATTGCTTTAATAGATTTTTGTTCATTCTATATTCATCACCCAAAAAAAATAAAACAATTCAATTTTCTCATCTGTTGATATACATCATGAATGATTTTTATTTTGCATGACCAAAGATGATTTATAGTTCTTTTTATGACGAAAACTTTCGATTTTATTCACTTAATTTCACTTCGATATAGAACTTACATCAATACATCGCTCGCATATTGAACAATGTGAACAGCGTGGTGGTCGAAATAGTTTGCATGTTCGACAATATTTCATTTGAACTGATCCTAAATAGATATTTAACTATTAATATCTTTTTACATGAAAAGAAAAGAAAAGAAATACTCCTACCATCATTGATATGAATAAGTCGAGGTTGAGGTTCATATACATCATCATCGTCATCATCTGTATCAATGCCTCCTTTTCTTTTTGTTGGACGTACATAAAAACTTATATCTGAATTTTCCTTTTTTAAAGATTGTTCATAAACACCCTATGAAAAATAATTTCGGGTTTTTTTTTGTCTATAAATTTATATCTTACTGGATCCATATATGTTGCAAGTATAAAATTACCACAAAGTAGAACAAATAAAAGACAATGTGCAATAAGCAATGGTAAAAATGTTGGTAGAAGAATAATAATTTCTGGTAATACACAAATCCAATAAGTAAAGGAAGTACTCAATAAAAGAGCCCAAGCAAAAAATGCAGGAAGACGTTCTGTTGAACATAATTTTTGTGAACGACGATGATGAGATTTTAATTTCGTTTTTGCTTCGACATCTGACGCATATGATGGTGTTGTCACCACTTGCCGTCGTGATGCTTGCGGTGACATCGACACACATCCGATAATTAATCTAAAATGACCTAAAGCTTTTCAATGTTAAACCATGCACCAATGAGATTATTTTTCGTATATGTATGTATATGTATACATATAAATCTTCCTTCCAGATATGCGTTAGTTACCACCTACATCAGTTATTCATTTTACAGATGGTAACGACGATATTTCGAGGTTGTGCATACATACACTAACAAGCGAAAAAAAGAGAAAAGAAGATTTGTATAAGACATACATTCATACATCATATGAAAAAAGGAAGAAAGAGGAATGAATATGAGTTTTTTTTTTCGTATGCAAAGAAAAGAGATGATGATGATGAAATAAGAACACATTCAACAGTTATGCATTATATAGAATGAACCATATGGGAAAGAAAGAGAAAAGAGCGATTATCAAGAGAAAAAAATATATTGATGAGAGACAAGTGGCAATTATGTGTATAAGACAAAACTAACTTCATTGAATAAGAAACAAAAGAGATGATCACAGTAATGCAATAAAAATGAACACAATCAATTGAACAGATGTGTTAATATGACTATTAGTTTATTTTTCCTAAACCACATTGATTCAATAACCAAACAAACTTGAAAATAACAATTAATATAATATTGATCAATAGAAAAAATATGTATATATACTTACGTAAACATAGCGATTATAATTATAATATTCCAAAGACCAATAAATATTCGAAAATATTGAAGACTTGCAAGAAATTCACGTATTTTGTCTCCTAAAATTAACATTTAATGATGAAATTGGTTCTTTACAAGGTCACAAAAATCCAGACTTAGTTCTGTAAAAACGCATATTGTGCGAGAAATTATTATTATTATTAACGGCTCGTATGTTAATGTTAATAATTACTGTATTCGACTCAATAGAGCCGAACTTTTGATTGACATAAGAAAATATCGTTTTGCTGTCTAACAAAGTCAAACTCAATAATTATCAATAGTTTACAGTTACTGTCAATCATCTTAAAAACATATACATTTTACTTATTTCTTTATTGTTTCAAAAAAAAACAAAGCCTACTATAAATAAACTGAAAAAAATTCTTTTACAATCAAGAAAAAAACATACTTAACACGTTGACTGTCCGGTGTATCATATGTGATGCACGATACTTTGGACTGAGACGTCCCGTGCATCATATATGATGCACGCGCTGTATATGATATTTATTACCCCCCCCCCCCCCCCCGATAATTCGAATTTTGTTTTTTCTAGCAAGTTTTTCTCTATAGTATTATTCTAAGAGAGACAATTGAGTCATATGTGTTGCATGTAAAAAGAGATCGAAGATATGTTTAAAACTTATTTTTGTGGTATATAAACGTAATACACTTCAAAAATAATATGTTTGAAAATTAAGAAAAAAAAATAAAAAATGGACGTAGAACAAGTACTCATTTTTTTGTATGGGGACAGTCAACGTGTTAAAGTCTCCAATTTCGTACATCCTTTATTATAGAAAATATTTCATTTTGTAATTTGATATTCTTATTTCCTCATAGCAAAAAAATAGATTAAATGCGACAAAGAACATTCTCTCTTACCAATCGATGGATTTTCAACCATAAAACCAACATCTTTTCGTTTTCTATTCATAATAAAACTTTAAATAATAAAAAAAAAATAAAACTACAAGACATACAGTTTAACATTGATAATAGCACCAGCATTAATTAACAAAGTACTAGATTATAATTATTAATAAATCACAAAATAAATTCATTCATATACTTACAAAATAATAATTAATGAAGAAAACATCTAAAATCGGAAAATATATATATATATATATAATCACAAATCATACATCATGTTAATAAATAAATATATCACACAGTTACACTCACAAACAGAAGATTTTTAATCTGAATTTTATAAAAAAAAAACAAAAACGGAAAACAACCGGTATACAATAATCTTTGACTAGAATTATTGTGGATAATTTCTTTTCTTTTCTTTTCTATTATAAAAACACATAATCATCCGAAAGAGAATGTACTCGACCACTTGAATTATCATTATTTAATGATAGACCAGCATCATCCCATGAGTCACGATATGTAACTGGTGATGAATTAATAAGAAAATTTTTTCCATTATTAGAAATTCTTTTGCTGATTGATGATGGTGATGCATTTGCTGATGATAATTTAGTTACACGAAGAAAAACATCTTCATCTTCATTTAAAGATGGATATTCATAATTAAGTACACGTTTATGAGTTTCTTGAAATGTTCCACGTTCTATACGAAATATTGGACATGTACGTCGATCATCCGATGCCATATGACATATATGATTCCACTAGGAAATAGAAAAAATTATAATTTTGACATTTAATGGTTCAAATCAATGATTTTTCTACTTATAAATAATTCTAATTACTAAAAAATGCTTTTTACTGTGTCATAAATATTCTAACAACTCTGTTCTCTCTATATTGCATGTTAATCGAAACCTGTCAAGATCGTGTTTTAGTAATATTATTGAAATTTAAAAAATCTTTAAAAGATGGATATTTTATATATACAAAATTAATTTCTTTGGAGACTATTTTGATTATTCCTATTGGGATTCGAAATTAATTTACTTGTGCACAGAACATTTCAAAATCAGCTTTATCTCGACAATAAAATCCTAATGTACAACTTGGATCCATTTTTTTGGTTGATAATTTCTTTGGTGATGAACATGAATAACTCTAGAATAAATAAATGTAGATATATGTTATTTTAGAAAGTTTTTCTCTTACGGATGTATCAAATGTATTGTCAAGTACATTCACTGTCGATTGAATAAAATGTGGATCAAGATCAATAAAATTATCATCTTGATAACCAACGATATATACAGCATGACGTGGGCTACCACCAATAATACCGACTGTTTGTGGAAGTTGAAGGGCTTCTTTTAAATAATATTCATAGATTAAATCAAGTTCATTTAAACCTAATCTTAATGGTACAAGAATAAGTACAGATGTTGACCAACGTGAAGAATTATTATCTGTTGTTGTTGTAGCGGAATCAAGTGATGGATAAAGAGTATTTTTTTTATTTAAATTCGAATTATTATTATTATTAGATAATGATGTACTGCATAGATCAATAACATCTTGTCGATATACTACAAAAAGAAATATTATGAATAGAATTGAAAATAAGAGATCTTACTAATAGCATCTTGACTAATATAAATACGAAGTAGTTCAGGTATTTGCTTAGCTTCAATAGCAATTTGTACAGCTTCTTTAAGACAATGAGCAGCACTCACTGGTCCAAAGAAATCACCAGGTCGGATACCATGTAATGTACCAAGTTCAACAATTCTATTTTAAAAAGAAAAATATACAAAATTCTATGAATGATTTCAATTATTTACTTATGAATTCCAAATGGACATTTAACATGTGGTATATCTCCGAATAATCGAATTATATCTTTATACATTTGTGCATGTCTATTTACTCTATTTGCATGTTTTGCATATTCAATGGAATTTCGTTTTGGACCTAAATAAATATAAACTGTATTGTGAACGCAACAACAAAAAAAAATAATTTGTACATTTATCCGATATTTGAATATTTGAATACGATGAATTAAATGCACTTGTCAAATGTATAAGTAATGTTTGAGCAAGTAACATTTGTGCACAACGTATCATACAACCCCAACCACCATCGGAAGTAATTACATCGCCATTACGTGAACCTATTAATGGTTCAAATTGTTTTCGATAAGAAAAATATATTCGTTGTGAAAATGATTTTAAAAAATTTGTATAAGATTGATCGGAATGTGGTCGTGGAATATCATCATATGTTGTTTCTTAAAATACAAAAAAAAGATTAGATTTCACCATTTAATAAATTTTATATTCACCTTCTCTGCCATTATATTTTTTACCAAGTAAATATATTGGTGTTTCATTAGTACGAAAATTAGGTCGCATCTTCACAACCCAACCTAAAAAGAGCAAAATAGTTTGAAAAAGTTTAATCGAAATATTTGAACTTACGGTATTTCATATGATTGAGTGCTGCTGTTACTTTACTTTTAAGGAATTTATTATTACTATTTGCTAATTCTTCATTCACAACTGTCGTTCCTACAGGTTCATTTGTTGGTAGTATACGTTGAGAACTTGTTGATGGACTTCTGATTATAGTCATAACAAATTGTTCGTCGGAAGGTGATGAATTATTTGGTTTACGTGTTGGTGATGATACTTTAAGAAAGGAAGATAAATTTGTTTTTGGACTATTGGTTGTAGCGAATGAAGATGATGGTGATGAGTCTGATGAAGACATTATTGATCGATCTTGTTTTGGTGAATTTGTTGCAGTAGTAGTAGCAGAGTCAGGTGGAAGTAGATGTGCAGCTGATTGTGCACGATATCGTGGATTAAAAAAACTGTTGGTTGCATTGTCATCATTATTATCATCGAACATTTTCGTTTTCGATGACTTGAAAAACATGTGGATTTCACAAAAATTGATTAATCTTTGTTTATTCCTATATGTTTACGTCATACTCTACCCACACATATAAAAAATATCACATCCTTCAATCTTGATTCGTAGAAATACAGAATTGAATTGATAGGGAACGAAAGATGTCGTTGTTACTCAAAAACATTCCGATATAATAATAAAAAAGAAGATCACAATAACAAGAAATATTTTCTTATTATTATGAATCAGACGAAAAAGAAAAAAATAACGATAACATATTATTTAAATATATATATATATTGTTTTATTACTATAATTAAAAAATGATGAATATCTTTTTCATCTTACTGAAAGAATACATACATATATATAATCAGTATGTCAAATGTCTCAATATAAAAAGCTGTCGTTGATATTATATCATATATATGAGATAGTAATAAGAAGATAAAGCAACATTATCGTAATACATTCATCCATCCGTGAAGAACAAATTTTTAATAATATTATAGGTTCATTTAATGCAACAAAAATTTTTTTTGAATCATCACGATATAACGGGGAATATTTTTTTTACATTTATAAACAAATGCTTACTGAAGATATGAAGAGAAAGAGAAAGAAAAGGGTATGAATATTATACGTCACACTACTGTCATTATTAATGCACTCATATATTCACCATCATCGATCACCTATCTATATCTACATTCTTACCTGTCCATTCTTTCTATCTATCTATTCATATTGACAGTCTATAGGGTTAGTTTGATAGTAATCTTTTCTCAGTATTGTAATACAGAATGTAAAGAAAACAATGTTAGCATAGTTTAACGATATTTACAAAAAAAAAATATTCATTTCGTATCAAGTTCTGATGGTTTATCAGTTCCATCTTGTTGTGTAGAATCAGCATGTGATTCTAATCGATGTTTTCTCCATGCTTTTAAATATGCAACACTTGCTGGTTCAAGATTATCAACAATTAAAAACATTTGAACAGCTCCATCTTCATAACCAACAACTAATGCTTGTCCATCTTGTGTTGCCATAGCTTGTCGAACTTTTGCTGGACATTTCATATCAGCTATTTGTTGACCATCAGCAGTACGAAAAACACGTATTGTTCGTTTACCTTTGTTATAATATATAACATGATTATTAGTTGGAGTAAAAAATGCGAGTACATCAAATACACCTTCAGCTACTTTGCCAATTAATGTCCGAACGACTTTTGCATTTCGTAATTCAAATATTTCAAGACCACCACGTGTAGGAGCATATAAACCATATTTACCATCACTAGATATTTGACCACCCCATTTTGGTATTACTAAATGAACCTAAAATAAATAAATATATATATAACAATTCACTGTGCAACCTTAGAATTAAATACCCTTTTATCTCTAACATTCATAATAACACCTTTATCAGCATCAATTAATCCAATAAGATGAGGTTGTTTTGGTATTGTAACCATTGAAATAATATCTTTATAACCATTATAAGTCAATTTAACATTATGTATATGTTCACCAGATATTGGATCATGTATTGAAAGAACATCGTTCGTTTTTTTCTCTTCAATAAATATTAAATATGTATCCTCAGCTGTACATATTGATTTTTTCGGTTGCGTCATACGTTTAATAGTATAGGATCTTTCATAAACTAAATCTCCATCAGGTATTGTATATGTTACAGCATGAATAATTTGTCCTAATGTTGATGGAAGATTTGGATTTGCATTAATTGCTGCATTTGGATTTGTTGGTACTATTGGTTCAAAACTAGCAACTAAAACCTTAAGAAAAAAACAAAATTATTTTTTTCTAATTTAAATTTTTTCATACCATTGTTTCAGCAGTATGAAGTAGTAATTGAAAAATATTTTTTATTTTTGTTATAAATGTTATTCGTCGTTCTTCAATATCCCATACAACCAGATTACCTGATTCAGCTGTTACGGCAAATAAACCATTAGTACACATAGCTGTACATTGATAAATTGATCCATGTGGACTTGCAATTAATTGTCCTTTTATAAAACCAGTTTTCATATCAAATAAACATAATTGTGTACGTGTTTGTGCCATAATGATTTGTGTATCTGTTGATATATGCATCATTTCAAGAGCTTTATCTAATTGTGTTATTGAAATATCTTTTTCTCGTGCATTTTCTAAATTCCATACTTTGGTTGTTTTATCCATTCCAGTTGTTATAACATAATTATTACCACCACCACCTGATAATAAACCTTTTAAAACAAGAATTCGACCAAAATGTGAATCAAATGAAGCTACTAGCTCTCCCCATTCAATTGCAAATACATAAACAGTTGATTTAACACATGCAATACAATAACTAAATTTAAGAAAGAAAAAAAATAAGATTTTCAAAAATAAATCATATACCGATTATCATGTGAGAATACTGCAGTATAAATTAAACGTTTTGTACCACTAATTATATTTCGTACACCACCAGGTAATGCACATGTTTTCCATAGATAGGATCGAAATGAAAAAATTTTAAAACCTTTAAATGTAACTGCCATTAAATAATTTTCATCATTACTTAATATAAATGCAAATATACTAAAAAATACAAAATAGTTAGTACTATTCGAAAGGGGGTGATCGAAAATCATGATTTTTTCCTCACGCTAGAAATATCATAATACGAAATTTCTTGTCACTTAGATTACGAATCTGAGTCTAGTACTGGGTAGTTCCATGATATGTCAAACACAAAGTATTGAGATACAGGTACCCCCTCCCCCCACGTGAAAAACCGACAAAAAAGGGATCAGATCTGGATAAACGGATATCGGATTCGTGATCTAGGTGACTAGGCCTTTCGTATTATGATATTCCTAACGTGAGGAAAAAGTCATGATTTTTTGATCATCCCCTTTCTTCTTCAACAAATAATTACCGATCTTTATTTTCAAATAATTGATGATCAAATGCCCATATACGTTGAGTTTTAAAATTAATTGGATGTGGTTTATTAACATACATTTCGACATTGTAATCATTGATTTCACAACATGTGTACATTCGTCGTTTATCACGTGTTAATATAAGTGCACTATGAATATTTTTACGACCACCAGTTAAACAACGTGGTTCATTATTATTATTATTGTCTATTATCTCATTTGGATGATCAGAATTTGTAACAAAACAATAATCAATTATTAAGCGATCACGAGCAACTTCTTGATCAGGTTTTATTTCTTCCGAACGACATACAATTTCAACTTCTGGTCCAGGTAATAATTCAATTTGTATTATTTGATAACGTGTTGGTTGTGATGTTAATAATTCACCTTTTTTCGTATATACTTGATACATTTGTGAAGTCCACAATGCAAAATGTGTATTACTTACAGCAGCTCCTAATAATGGATCTGCAGGTTGTGATGAAAAAATTGATTTCGTTTGAGGTTTAGTCGAACTTCCTGGTGTTTGATAATCACGCAAAATATATTCTCCAGTTAATAAATTACATATAATATATTGATTACTAATTGTTATTGCTACACAATAACGTTGATCAGGTGCAACAGATAAATATGTCATGATACCTTCAATTTTCGGATCTACAATTCTTACTGTATCACCACTAGATAAATCAAAAACAATAAATTTATTTGATACAGTTAGAAGATGTTGTCCCGATGAAATAACTTCTAAACCATAAACAGCAAATTGATGTGCTTCTAAAGAATAAACAAGTGGACCACCGGGTGATGCTAATGTATTAAAAGCAGGTACAAGACCCATATGTTGTAAACCAATACTTTCACATTGATCAATAAATGACGCTATTTTAGGACATGTTGTATAAAATGGTAGAAGACGACCAATTATTTGACATGCTAAATTATTTGGATCAGCTGCCAAAACCGAACTTGATAAACGAAGTCCATCACTCATTAATTTAACCTATAAGATAACAAAAAAAATCTTTTCATATGAGAGAAATCATTTTTTTCTTACTTCTTTATCATGAATATATTCAAATGCACTTTCATAATCATATATACAACTATTTAACGGCATACAAGATAATTTTGCATGTATAAAATCATAATTAAATAAAACATGATTATATAAATCATCTTCACGTTCGGATTGTATTAATTGAAATGGTAATTCACTTAGTTTACGTAAATTATAACGAACATCAGAAGCATTTGTATTTTGTGCTGCTTCTGTTGATGCTTCTTTTTTTGCTGTGAATATAAGAGGTTGAGCTGGTACTTTTCGATCAGCTTCAGCATCAGTTGACATTAAATTAAACATACGTTTTTGATTATCAGTAAATTGAAATGGTTTCGGACGATTTGCCCATATACCCAAAAAATAATCGGCCATTTGAGAATGATATCGTCGACGTTCTTCGGGATTTGCTAAATAACGTTCGTGAGATACTACACAAAAATAAATGGTAAAAACACATTTCAAAATAAATAATAAAATTCTACCTTCGGCAAATTGTCGATGGTACCAACTAACAACTGATACTCCTTCAGCTTCACGTTCAACTAAATAATTAGGTATATCATTTCGTATACGTGTCCATAATAGCGGTGGTATACGTCGAATAGGTGGTAAATGATATTGATAAATATCATTTAAAACCGTTTCATCAAGTGATATTAAATCTTCTAATTCAGCTTCACTTAAACCTGATCTTGATGCTGTTATATACGATAAAGCATGTTCAACTAAAATATGTCCATGTTGATTTTCAATACGACCTAATAATTTATTAATTGATGTTGAAACTGTTTTAGCTAAATCTTTTTCTTGTGTTTTTGTATATGATTTCCATAATTTGATTTCATCAAATACTAATTTAACATATAATGGTGTATTACATTCAATCAATCTTTCATGAACTAATAACCTATTTAATTACAAAGGTATACAAAAACAATTTTTCATTTGAAAATACAAACCATTGTACATCAGATATTGTTCGATGCTGTCGAGCTAACCAAGCTTTTAATACAATTTTACCTAGATCTTCACCTAATGGTTTAATCTAAATTTATTAAACAATATATCGTAAATATACATTCATAGATATTAATATACTTGAACAAAATTTTCCGGAGTATCGATAATATTTCGAAGTGTATTTAAAATATTAAATATTCCAGGTAATGTTGAAACAATCTAGAATAAATAATTTTTATTAATAAAAAAAAGAAGGGTGATTCGTACAAGTTTAACATGATTAGGAAGTGTTGGTGGTAGCCACGACATTGAATGTGCACCATCCGATGATGAAATTTGATCTAATGAATCCAAAAATATGCATAGTGGTTTATCATTTGGTGTTTTTCCTAATAAACGTTTAAAATAATTTATTAATTGTGATAATTCATTTGGAATTGTAGCTTCAGATTCTTGATATAATCGACATAATTGTTGACAAATACTACGTAATAATGGTCCAATAGATGAACTATCAGGTGTAGTACCAAGAAATCGAACAACTCTTATAGGTGAACAATTTTTCGTTGGAAACCATGTTGAATATTCTGACGCGATTTTTGCTAACATACTTGATTTACCACAACCACCTTCACCCCAAAGAACTAATGGTTGTTTTGATGAACCTTGAACATAATTTCGTATACGTTCAAGAATATCTGTACGTCCTTGAAAATCTTGACTGAAATTGTTTACAACATGAAGATTTTGAAGAATTTCAGTAAAAACTCTTTGAAGAGAAAAATCGAGATAAATATATTAGATTATTTTTAGAATTTACCTATTTGCTGGAAAAGTATTTTGTTTTCTTACACCATTATCAATTAATTCAACAATACGTCGATAGAATGTTTCAATAAAATCTTTTAAATATTCAGCATGAACATTTTTATTTAATCCATCATCATCGGACCATTCAACAGTATATCGAACAATACTTGATTCAGGTAATGCTGCTGCTACCTATATATACATAAATCATTTTTTTTTATGACAGTATTTTTCAACTTACGCGAACATCTCGTAAATCCGATAGCATATTTTGTGCTTCAACATCAACTTTCTTCGCAGTAATATCGATAAATTTCATTGAATGACGTAATAAATCAATATTAATATTATCAATATGACGAAAAAATGCTAATGTATGTTCAACTATATCCTTTGCATTTAATATTCCTCGTACAACTTCTTGTTCAGTAACTAAATATAAAACGGTATTTCATTTTTCATCGTATGTATATTTATTTACCTGACCAATTATATCGATGATTATCATGTGCAGTAAATAGACCTTGTTTATAAAGTTCTAATGCAGCTACACGTACCGCTCGATTTAATTTACCCATTGTTTCCCACCATGAACTTTGATCTTCTTCCATGAGACGAGGATGTGCTCGATTAGTAAAATTTGTAAATATTGAACTGACAGGTTGTAAACAAAATAAACTTGGAATATTATTTGAATCAAGTTTATACCATTGTTTAAGTAATGCTGCATCTTCTGTACTTGATACAGATATAACTTTACTAAATTCTCCTTCTTCAATTTTGGTTGGTAATGGTCGATAACCATATTTTTGACAGAGAAATACCTGAAATAAAATATATAATTTGATTTTTAAGACAAAAGAACATTATATATTCTTTCTAACAAAGGTAAATATTTGTTATGAATAGGAAAGCAACAACTTTCTCATTCTTGTTACTCAAATAACGAGTAAAAGAAAGAAAATTTTTAAATATTTATATACCACGAAATTTGGTCCAACGGATACTCGTTGACAATTATCAATTTCTTGCATACATAATTCTGTTGTTTTATGATCATCGGTTGCTTCATCACGAACACCCCAACGCATATCAACAACTTGAAATTCTAATCCATGTTTTTCACGACAATATTCTTTAAGTTTGGGATATGTATGTTGCATTAATGAATTACGTTCCATACTTGTATCTAAACTCGAACAAAAACAAAATGGTTGATTTAAATAAAAAATTTAATTAACCTGTAAATGTTGACGATGTAAAAATACGAACAATTTTCGATGCCAGACTTGGTAAATTATCCAATTTACCAATATATACATGTTGTAAAATTTCAGCGACTTGCTCTTCGTTATATTCTTGTTCAGGCATAATTATATTTCTTTTGCTTTTCTTTCCAAACGTTTAAATGTGACTGTGTCGTTGGAATTGAACGTGTAAATGAGTGAAAAAAGAAGAGAAAAGCAAAAAGCAATCGATGAATAAATACTTCTTTTCTTCGTCAATCATAATCACCTTATTGAGTTTTTCTTTATAATAATAAATAGAAAGCAAAAAATACCGGAGAGAACTTTTGATAGATTTTCTCGTTTCCAATTAAGTGCATTTCAGATTGAAAACTCATTTCCTTAGTTTTCTCACTATACTAAAACAGATTGTTTTTTTTAATTTTTATTTAACAAAAACTTTATTACAAAACAATGTCGAATCTTTGAATTCGAGCGTTTCCACAATCAGCAACATAGAGATTGCCCTCGTTATCAAAAGATAAACCATAAGGATTATTTAATTGATTTGATTTATTTCCTTTTCCATTTTCACCAACAATAAATTCACCTTCTTCCTTTCCTTCACACCAACGAATTACTCGATGATTCCACATATCTGCTACATAGATTCGGCCCAAATCATCGACAATTACTCCTCGAGGGTAAGATAATTGATTGAGATTTCCTCCAGACACAATTATTCCTTCTTTTGCACCTTTTCTCCATTTCATCACACGATTATTATCTCTATCTGATACATAAATAGATTGATCGTCGTCAACAGAGATAAAACCTGGAGAATTGAGTTGATTAAGTTCATTTCCTTCTCCATTTCCACCTGCTACTACAATTCCTTCATTATATTCACCCATTTTGCATCGTCTTACTTCATTCTTCGTATAATCAGAAATATAAAGAAATTCATGTTTGTCTATTGCTAAGCCAAAACAGTCAATATTGTCAATGAGAATTTGTTGATTTCGATTTAACCATCGAACCACTCTTCTGTTTCCTTGATCAGCAATGATAATCGAATGATTTTGATGGTTAACAATTACATCTGTTGGATGATTCAATTGATGTATTTTATTTCCTTGTCCATTTCCACCTGCAATAATTTGTCCTTCCTTTGCATTATATTTCCATTCAATAATACGATGATTATCACAATCAGCAATGAAAATATTTTTCTTTTCATCAATAGAGATTCCATAAGGATATTTGAATTGAGTTAATTTTTGTCCAAATCCATCGCCACCAGCTACAGTGTTGGCATTTTGTTTCCATTTGTTGAATGTTGGTCCTATAAATATATTTAATAAATAGACAAGTTTTATTTTATTTTATTTTTCTAAAAACTTACTTTCTAATGAAATAATTGAAATTTCATTAATAAATGGTTCAGATTCTTGTTGAGTATAAGTCTTCGATGGACTATTTAGTTCTTGTCTGAGTTTTATCAATTCATCTCTTAAATAATTTAAATTTATCTCATTAAATTCATTTTCACTACGAAATTGTTTAAGTTGTTCATTTAAATCATTAAATTTCATTTCAATATCATTCAAAAATATTTGTGATGATTTAATAACAATTTCTATGCAATCTTTTGCTTTTTGTTTAATTTTTTCAATTGAATCTATTTCCCATTCATTAATTTCATTTATTAAAAAAAGATCATGTGGATTCGGTTTTTGTTCAGTAAATCTGTGTTTGAATTGATCATAATCGTTAATAATATGATGTAGTTCTTCATTTAATAGTTGACGATGTTTTGTTAAATCCATCAAACAAAAGTTTTTCAAACATCCTTCACAAAGATATGTTATTTTATCTTTATTACATATAACACATTGCGTTTTATTGTTTGTCATTGCCATATTTTTGAACATAAATTTCTAGATGTAAACTAAAGAATTCAATGATAAGAAAAATAGTGTTCAGTAGTAAAAGATGATGTGCTTTTAATTTTAAATAAAAATTGAAACAGTTCTAGTGATGTTTTTTCAATGAAAGAATGTTTGAATGTAGATTTGTACTCATAACTTTGCTTC